GTTGTTCTGTTTGCCTCGTTTTCCTATGCATAGATATGAGAAACTCAGATAATGAATTTTTTGTGCGAAGCTTCTGATCTATGATGATGCTATATTGAATGCTGGAAAGAAGTTTATTACTATTATATCTTATTGATCTAATTAAGGATGTTCAAACTTGAACCTAATATTTGAGATATTCAAATGTTGACAAAGTATATTTGAATGAGCTTTGATTGAATTTCATTCATTGAATATTCAAAACATTTGAATATTGTCCTTCTATTTCATTACATTTGCTTGAAATTTGAACATATTTAAAATACATGATTTGTGAATAGTAATAGAATTTGTAGGTGCAGGCTCAACCTTTCTTGCTCTCTTTGCTCAGTCCTGCATGAGAGCCAACAGTCTCACCCTTGCACTTTTGCTTAATTTAATTTTTTGGTTACTTTGCTCACTTCACTCAACCTCACTCTAGGGGACAACTTAACATCCCCTTTCTTATTGCTCAACTCAGCTTCACTTCCTTTACTCACACCTTGTGAGGGATACCCAAATCCCCTTGATTCACTTTCTTTGCCAACCCACTTCCCTTGCACTTTTTGCTTGAACTATCTGTGGAATGTGGTCCAATTCCCCGCTGCTTCAGTTCATTTGCCACAGGGCTTCACTCGGTTGTTTCCAATATAGAGTATTCATAACAAAAGATTCATTAAGCTTAAAGGTTATGGATTTGGAGAAAGAGTTTAAACCATTTTGCCAGCAGGTTTTGTTCTTGTCTGATAAAGCCTTAGTAGGTTAATTGTGTCAAGGTCATCAAAATACTTGTGTTTATGGATATATCCATAAATATGTATTCAAGAAGGATAATTGTTTTATTTTAGCTTTTAGAATATATTTCTTTATCTCTATTTTCAATATTTTTGGAATTTTTGATTTTGTTTATTAAAGTTCTTAAATTATATAAATTTTTTTATTGTGTATTTTAAATATTTTAATANTGTTTTTGCTATTGTGTCATATTATATAATTGGAAATATGTATCCAGGAACTATTCATAAATTTATGAAGTTAAAGAAAATTTGACAATTTACTGTATGATGGCTTGCTTAATGATTGTTTTTCAGAAACTAATAATGGTTTACTACAAGCCTGGCAAGCTTATAGTGAGGATTGATCAACTTTCATGAGTCAAAAGCACTGATAATCTACTCCATATTTTTGTTCTGTGAAAACTTAATAATTCACCTTAATGAAATTATTCAGCAAAACATAGTTGTATTTATGTATTGTACAGTAATTAACGTTCCAAGTTAACTCTGTTTATTAAAGACACTAAGGTATAAAATAAATGACATCATTTATTTTTCACCATAACAAAAAAATTGCATTTTTTCTATCACAGAAATTATAAGTTTTGTTTCTCTTTGGCACACTCATTTTGCACTAATTGAATTGTTTATGAAATAATAAATTTCTAAAATAACAACATGCCTGGCTAGCAATGATCATTGACACAAAGGACACTTTTGCTTGCTCATTTCATAGAGCACAGTGTTACCAACCCATAGAGAATAGTTAAGATTTCTCTGTGAAAAGTCTGGATTTAATTTTCTTATTGGGTTGCAATTTGAAAAAAATTGTTGACCTATGAATTCCCACTGTCATCCATCCATCTGTTTGTCTCTGTCTTTCCTTAATCTTGAGAACAGAGTTAGATAGATAGAAGACAGACCAGATATGGAAATCTTAGGGGCAGGAGGCCCTGATTAACTATATACAAACTTCTGATGCACAATGAAAGTCACATTATTTCAATTAAAAAATTTTTTCCTGAAAGTTGTTAGATAGATGACTGGCATGACTCTATTGTTAAAGGAAAAGTATGATGTACAGGGGCAAGCCACTACTAATTTGAGGTGGGGAGCATATATTTTAAGTTAAATAAATGAAAAATATGATTAAAAATTGCAGACAGGCATTGTGATGATGTCTCAGTTGCTTGTTAAAATTAAATGTTTTTTCATGTTTTAATGAGCCATATTATCTGCAGTTGACCAAAAATGATGCAACAATTGACTTGTCAATTATGATTGAATTGTTGGTCATGCTTGGTTTATTGTGTATTTTCATGTGGAACAAAAATGATATATTGCAAAAGACCATTTTTTTTTCTGTGTTTTTGAATACAATGAGTTTGAAAATAGCTAAATTTTTAACTGAAGAAATGTCACAAATCATCCTACAGAAATAACTGTTTTAAGAATTTTTATCTTAAAAATATACATACATAAAAATGTCATCAGGTTTTAAATTACTTATTTTATCAAAAATTGAAATAAATAATGCTGTTTTCATATTTATTACTTGAAAGTTGTTTACATTAATTGAATTCATTTTATTTTAATATCTTCTAAATAGATGTTAGTATATTTTTTTATATATTCATTATCATACTTCAGTTTTGTTTTATTAACTTTTAAAAAGTATGTAAATAAACTCAACTATAATGAATATATTCTGAATTATATACCAGTATATAAGCTATAAAAAATTTTATGTAACAAAAATCTTATTATTGTTAATTTAATATTGAAAGTATGAATATATTCATCAATATACTCTTTAAACTAGGAATTCACAAATGCAGCAATCTTAAAACTTTTGTATGACCACTGCGTCAGTTTTGCATGATTGTTTAATTAATCTAGATAGCCAAGTTTGTAATTTTTCACTCAGTAAGTATCATTGAATCCTAAATGCATAAGAATGGTGATGCTATTGCAAGAGATCCTTATTATGTTTTGTACAGTTGTGATTTAATTACAGTCAAAAATTATTTTTTTGTAGCTTTGTGGGTGGCCATGCAAAATTGTGTTCTGAGAACCCGTGATTCACTGACAGTAAAAGCAGNTTATATAATTGGAAATATGTATCCAGGAACTATTCATAAATTTATGAAGTTAAAGAAAATTTGACAATTTACTGTATGATGGCTTGCTTAATGATTGTTATTCAGAAATTGGTAATGGTTTACTACAAACCTGGCAAGCTTATAGTGGGGATTGATCAACTTTCATGACTCAAAAGCACTGATGATCTACTCCATATTTTTGATCCATGAAAACGTAATAATCCACCTTAATGAAATTATTCAGCAAAACATAGTTGTATTGTACAGTAATTAACGTTCCAAGTTAACTCTGTTTATTAAAGACACTAAGGTATAAAATAAATGACATCATTTATTTTTCACCATAACAAAAAAATTGCATTTCTTTCTATCACAGAAATTATAAGTTTTGTTTCTCTTTGGTACACTCATTTTGCACTAATTGAATTGTTTATGAAATAATAAATTTCTAAAATAACAACATGCCTGGCTAGCAATGATCATTGACACAAAGGACACTTTTGCTTGCTCATTTCATAGAGCACAGTGTTACCAACCCATAGAGAATAGTTAAGATTTCTCTGTGAAAAGTCTGGATTTAATTTTCTTATTGTGTTGCAATTTGAAAAAAATTGTAGACCTATGAATTCCCACTGTCATCCATCCATCTGTTTGTCTGTCTTTCTTTCCTTAATCTTGAGAACAGAGTTAGATAGATAGAAGATAGACCAGATATGGAAATCTTAGGGGCAGGAGGCCCTGATTAACTATATACAAACTTCTGATGCACACTGAAAGTCACATTATTTCAATTAAAAAATTTTTTCCTGAAAGTTGTTAGATAGATGACTGACATGACTATATTGTTAAAGGAAAAGTATGATGTACAGGGGCAAGCCACTACTAATTTGAGGTGGGAAGCATATATTTTAAGTTAAATAAATGAAAAATATGATTAAAAATTGCAGACAGGCATTGTGATGATGTCTTAGTTGCTTGTTAAAATTAAATGTTTTTTCATGTTTTAATGAGCCATATTATCTGCAATTGACCAAAAATGATGCAACAATTGACTTGTTGGTCATGCTTGATTTATTGTGTATTTTCATGTGGAACAAAAATGATATATTGCAAAAGACCATTTTTTTTTGTGTTTTTGAATATAATGAGTTTGAAAATAGCTAAATTTTTAACTGAAGAAATGTCACAAATCATCCTACAGAAATAACTATTTTAAGAATTTTTATCTTCAAAATATACATACGTAAAAATGTCATCATGTTTTAAATTACTTATTTTATCAAAAATTGAAATAAATAATGCTGTTTTCATATTTATTACTTGAAAGTTGTTTACATTAATTGAATTCATTTTATTTTAATATCTTCTAAATAGATGTTAGTATATTTTTTTATATATTCATTATCATACTTCAGTTTTGTTTTATTAACTTTTAAAAAGTACATAAATAAACTCAACTATAATGAATATATTCTGAATTATATACCAGTATATAAGCTATAAAAAATTTTATGTAACAAAAATCTTATTATTGTTAATTTAATATTGAAAGTATGAATATATTCATCAATATACTCTTTAAACTAGGAATTCACAAATGCAGCAATCTTAAAACTTTTGTATGACCACTGCGTCAGTTTTGCATGATTGTTTAATTAATCTAGATAGCCAAGTTTGTAATTTTTCACTCAGTAAGTATCATTGAATCCTAAATGCATAAGAATGGTGATGCTATTGCAAGAGATCCTTATTATGTTTTGTACAGTTGTGATTTAATTACAGTCAAAAATTATTTTTTTGTAGCTTTGTGGGTGGCCATGCAAAATTGTGTTCTGAGAACCCTACTCTAAACTGTGCTTGTATGTGTATCAAACAGGTGTATACTTTTTATGTATTAGTTACAGTTATACTCATTTGTAATTTCTATTTTCTTAAAAGTGAATCTTTTTGGAAAGTTTATTAAATTGCTTTTTATGTAGTGACATTGATCAGTCCTTAAACTAATATGAGAACAAAAGTAATAAATAGTAATTTTAAATTATTCTTTATAAATTATTTTAAATTATAGATTTAAAAAAAAACATTTTTTTTGTTTTTTTTTTAGTTTATACAAAAGAGATGAAAGATGTTTGTTTCTTTATGTTCATCAAAATTCGGATGATTTTCAAATGTTCTTTCCTTCCGAGCTGTTGAGAAATAAATTTCACAAACTTTTATTAGAAATGACGGCTGACCAAGAAGGAATGGTTACAGATTTAGATACAGATATTACCAATGGTCCTATACAGGTAAAATTAAAAATTCTACTCATTAATTTGTTTTAAATTTGTTTTAAATTGATAAAAATTTGTTTTAAATTTAGCTAATATATGAATAATGAATGAAACATATGTAACTTATAACTAACATTATATGAATATTAGTTTTTGTAATATAATACAGAAACTGTTAGATAAGTCTAGATTCTAGACACTAGAATTTGTATAATTTTATATAGAGCTATAGATGTATGTCATGTGTTTGTTTTTGCTATTGTGTCATATTATATAATTGGAAATATGTATCCAGGAACTATTCATAAATTTATGAAGTTAAAGAAAATTTGACAATTTACTGTATGATGGCTTGCTTAATGATTGTTATTCAGAAATTGGTAATGGTTTACTACAAACCTGGCAAGCTTATAGTGGGGATTGATCAACTTTCATGACTCAAAAGCACTGATGATCTACTCCATATTTTTGATCCATGAAAACGTAATAATCCACCTTAATGAAATTATTCAGCAAAACATAGTTGTATTGTACAGTAATTAACGTTCCAAGTTAACTCTGTTTATTAAAGACACTAAGGTATAAAATAAATGACATCATTTATTTTTCACCTAGGGATGCTAATGAATAGCTTAACATAGACACACGAGTGTTCACAGAAAATTTTTCAGGAGAACAAAGCTTGGAGGCAAATAGTTAAATAAATAAATTTCTATTTAATTAATTTGTTTTTTCCACGGATAGATTATAGATTACAGTATTGCATCAATACAAAAAGATAGTGTCAAGTGTACAAGGTTACACATCTCAATCACTTTTATGATTATGATTTGTTACTTGATCCTGGGGTAGGAAAGTAAAAAAGTATCCTCAGTTGTTCTGTTTGCCTCGTTTTCCTATGCGNATAATACAGAAACTGTTAGATAAGTCTAGATTCTAGACACTAGAATTTGTATAATTTTATATAGAGCTATAGATGTATGTACATAATTGATGATTTTTTTAATACATTACATTGTTCTTGAGTAGTCTGTATTTAAATAAACCTTATGTTTTACTGTTAAACTGTGTCCACAGTTTTGCAGTTGATTTCTAAATAAATAAATAAAGTACTAAATTTTCATCATTTTATGAGTTCCTGATACAGACTGAAGTATTGAGTTAATTTAAATCTATATATCTTATAAAAAATTCTTGACAAATTTGAAATTAAAACATATTTTTTCAGAATATAGTATCTACACAGACATTTTAGTTAATTAATACAGTACAATCTCAATAATCCAACCCTTTGCTAGTTTGACATATCTAGTAGTCTGACCACCAGTGGTCTCTCAAGTATTACTGGTGTCTTTGGCAAGTCCTAAGTTTCTATTAGTTCAAACTCCAATTCCCACTAAACTTTGCATGATATTATCCTTGAGCTTAAGCACTTGAACTTGGGAACAATATTAAAGATTGTTAGGCACATCATCTTAGGCTGCTTGCAATAAGGTACAGTATTTATAACAAAATACTGTACAAACAAAAATCATTTCCTTGAAATTTTTTACAAGAAATATTGTATTTTTCACTTAATTTTCCAGTCATTTTAATTTCCCATTAAATTTAATAGAAAACTTGGTAATGTCAATTACTGGTGATGGCAGCATGCTTGGATGTTTTAATCACTGTCTAACTTGTGTCTTTCTGCATCATTATTTATAGTGAATGAATGTGGTTGGACTGTACTCTGTCAAATTTGTTTATGTGACATTGAATTTACCTTGCTTCCAATAATCTGGAATCTCCCTTAATCCAACCCTGTTTCAACCTCATATATGTTGGATTATCAATATTCAAGGGCGAATTATCTGGACTTGCTTAGCATGCACTGCAAGCTTAATTAAGAGAAAGTTTGGTAAAAGTCCCTCCTTCATACATAGGATGTTTTTTTTTCTAATTTTGCTTTCTTAAACAAAGTATAGTTGTGTGAAAACACATCAGAGCTGTAGTCATGTGACCAACTGATGTTGAGGCGAGGTCACATGACACAATTTGTAAGTGTCCACCATGCAACGTGCTACTCTGTGATGTGAACAAGGTTAGGCAATGGCAGCTTCCACCTTGCAGAATCAGTAAGTAATTTGATGAGTTTTTGTTTATAGCTCTTATTAAATGCGTTGCCTTTGAAAATTTCTATCTGTTTAGGACACGTCTACTAGTGAGGTGTCTTAAGAGAGCAAAATTAGAAAAAACGCCCCATGTATGAAGGATTGACTTTTACCCTTTATATCATTTGTGTTAGCTTTTACATTGACAGCTAGTGGCTAGCCATTTTAAGTCATTGTGATGCTTGTGGGAACTCAATCGCTTGTTTGTGTGGAGGTTTGCCGCAGCAAACAAGTGCACATGCATGATATCATTTGAAGCATTTAAAATGGCCAGATTGTATCGAAAGCTTGCAGTACCCAGTCAGCATACATGTATTATGTGGTTTCAAATCTAAATTGTGAATTGTTGTGCATTATGTATGTTGTCACTATACATTATTTTATTCATACCAAATAATGTTTCTGCCTATTGTTTAATGCAGGGGTCACCAAACTTTTTTCACAGCGGGCCAGATAACTGGGAGAATGATGAGTGTGGGCCACATAACCATTTAGTTCAATACAGTATACTGAATACACAAGAAATAAAGAAAACCAATGTATTTATTTACCAATACACAAACATGATCACTACAACAAGCTCGTAATCACTTAGAAACTCCATTGCAGGTACTTACACAAAAAGTGCTCTGATATCCAGTTGCCAAATTTTTTATTTCACTGATTTTCCTGAAAATTATATTACTGTCAGATGCAAAAACCAGATTAGACTACTACTGGCATTTTTACATACACTTATTTTAATTTTTTCTACATAGTAAGTTCATCTATAATCTATGATATTTTCATATAAATAATTATATTTTAGCTCATTTGTGGCGTAGTGTGGCGGCAGGCCAGATGAACTGACCTTGCGGGCTGGATTTGGTCTGCGGGCTATAGTTTGGTGACTCCTGGTTTAATGCTTGAGCTAGGCCCATTATTCCTATTATAACTTTCAGCTTGCCCAAAAATTTTGGTCAGAATTCACCTTTGTCAATACTGTACTGTATGTGCCAAAACATTAAACATTTTGTTATATAATTTATTTATATATAAATATCAACAACTCATAGCCCGAGTAGTAAATACATCACCAAACGATCGCCTAAATATCGGGCTATAATACGGCTAATTAAATGATTGGAATAAAGTAATTTGACACTAGAGGTAGACGTTAGGCGCCATCTCTTAAGTAAATTAATAATTAAATAAATAAATCAATAAATAAATTTAGAATCTTCTGGAATAAAAGAACTGGCCCGGGGCGGGACTCGAACCCGCAGCCTCCGCTTGCCGTGCGGCGCGCTTACCAGTTACGCTACCCAGACCCTCGAGCTAGTCTTCGCTTCCAGAAGTATATTAGATTTAGATATAACCTTACTTGGTTAAATACATTACTGACTGGGGACGACTCCTTCGCCCACGGCCATAACGGCACTCAGCCAGCTAACGCAACACCCGGCGAGGTATATATATATATATAAACAACTCATAGCCCAAGTAGTAAATACATCACCAAACGATCGCCTAAATATTGGGCTATAATACGGCTAATTAAATGTATTATACCAAGTAATGTATTTAACCAAGTAAGGTTATATCTAAATCTAATATACTTCTGGAAGCGAAGACTAGCTCGAGGGTCTGGGTAGCGTAACTGGTAAGCGCGCCGCACGGCAAGCGGAGGCTGCGGGTTCGAGTCCCGCCCCGGGCCAGTTCTTTTATTCCAGAAGATTCTAAATTTATTTATTGATTTATTTATTTAATTATTAATTTACTTAAGAGATGGCGCCTAACGTCTACCTCTAGTGTCAAATTACTTTATTCCAATCATTTAATTAGCCGTATTATAGCCCGATATTTAGGCGATCGTTTGGTGATGTATATAATTTATTGCTGGATCCTATTCTTGAACTGTAGCAAGAATATGAATTGCACTGATTAATGTAGTACAGCAGTTCCAAAACTATTGAGAGCTATGGACTCCTTTAAAAATCAAAACATGCTTGTGACACAACTATGTATACAAAAAAATATTGTTAATATACAGTGGAACCTCGCTTAATGAGCACCTCTCATAACAAGTAATTCGCATAACAAGCAAAACAAATTGTAGAAAACTGACTTGCTTATCAGTGATATTTTGCATAATGAGTGATAAGAAGAGGGGAAGTCCCAGATTATGCACATGCTACATCAATCTGTGTTTAGTACTCATTCCACTAGCATCTTAGTGTCGCTTGTGATCACACATTTTTCCAAATTTGTGTTCAGACATATTATATAGAAACATCAACAACCATATTCTGTTATATAATAAACATACCTGTGGGTACTTGTTCGTGCATAATTAATCACTACAAACAAGGTCACATATAATAAAAGATTAAAATTTATTACATATATGAAATATGGTGCGACTGTACAAGTTAAACACGGGAGCGATAATACATGCGTCTGGAGCGAGGTCCGAATCCAAAAGGAATGTGATGTCATAGGTCAGGTTGCCAGGTCTGTTCAGTTCAGGAGTTCCTCCTTGTGGCAACTTTGGGATTTATCACCAAAGCTGTCGCCACAATACCAAATATGCCAAATTCTTGGGCTATGTAAAGGCTATAATTAAATATTAGAAATTAAATAATTTGACTAGAGTTAGACAGTTATGTTGCCATCTCGTATTAAATTTAATGACCAGTTCCAAATTAAGTTTCAATTTTGTTTTTTGTTTTCTATAAATCGAATTTACATTCAGGTTGGTTCATTCTGTGCTAGAAGAAAAGATGATAGTGATTCATGCCTCTTTAACAATATATATTGTATAATTTTCTTTGAATAAATGTTATACATAAAATATTTGAGTATTTTTTTGGCATAGAATTTTTGCATTATTGTATTTTACATTAATTTATATGGGAAAAATTGTTTTGCTTAACAACTGTTTTGCATTATTAGTAAGATTCTATTATACTCGTTAAGTGAGGTTCCGTTGTAATTAGTAAGTGAAACACATTGTACGTCTATTTGTATATTTTTAGAGAAATAAATGCATATCACTAGATATCTTCTGAATGTTTTATGGACCTTCTGAAATAGATTTAAGGATAATTGGGAAATGTTGATATAGTGTATGCATACAGTTTGATTATGATCTGTCAGAAGAATTGTTTCTGTCAGAAAAATAAAAGGCTGGATTACAAGGGAGAGTTTCAAAGTTTGGAGGAACACTATCCCATCAGTATATACTGGGTTGAGCGTCAATGTCGACATCTTCCACGCTTCAAAAAGTTTTGAATTGTTATCCGAAGACAAGGGAAGACCAATTGGTATTAATTATTTTACGTTGCTGCTTCTTTTGTTTGTTCTGTGAGGTGTTTGTTATCTGATCATGTATTCATTGTCCGAACATAAAAATCTTTCGTAAAAGTATTCGTTATCCAATTTGTTCGTTAACCAATTTGTTAACCAATCATTCACTGTATATTTTAACTATTAGGCATTTAATTTTGAAGATATTTTCTTGAATTTCTCTTAATACGAGTCTTTTTATTGGGATTATTCAGAAGAAATTATTCATGCATAATAATTATTCAATAAAATATAATTCAATAACATATTGTTTTATAAATTCAGAGTTTTATTTAAAATTTTTAAGTTTTAATGCTAATATATTTAATGATGATTAATTTTAATTGTAACCATTAGTTTAAAATAAATGTTAACTCTAATTTCAGTTTGAATATGAGGTAGATGAACAAAATAAGAAGATTTTGTTAGGAAAGGGAACTTATGGTTCAGTTTATGCAGCTCGTGATCTTAATACTCAAATAAAAGTTGCTGTAAAGGAAATTTTAGAGAAAAATATCGGGTGAGTAATATTTTGTACAAAGATTTTAAACTAAACAAATTCTTAATCAAAATTGAATGAAGTTGGTGATTGTCTAATATCACATTCAGAGCTACAAAATCTCTTTCACTAAAACTTAAATATAAGATTCAACTTACATTTAATTGAGATTGAGGAAGTTTTCCAAACTAAAAGAATTTTTAAAAATGTAGTGAAATTTAAAATAAATCCATATAAATAAATCCACTGATTTTAGCTAATACCATCACCACTCCCTAGCATCTATCTCCATTCATCGAAAGAACCCACTGATTCTGAGGAAAGTGACTCCCTCAATCCAGGAAACTCTGAATTTCAATCTCTATGAACTCTCTATATCCTTGCGCGGACTTAATGTGAACTCTCTATATCCTTGCGCGGACTTAATGTGAACTCTCTCTCTCATTGTCAGGTTCATAGTAGTGATGCTGCATGTCCAAATATTAGCATTTGCTAAGCATTTGTATAACAATTTATGTCTTGCTATAATCTTGATTAATAAACAGGTAGTTTTGTTATATGATAACTTGTACAGTGCACTTCTTTAACCCAATTGGTCTCCATCTCAAGTTCAATCACTCAGAGACACGATCGCTCACATGTAAAAGCAAACGTAACAGTCTCTGTATCTACCCAGAAGACACAGCGGTGTCAGTCTGATGAATTAGTTATTGCAGTCTTTGTTGATGCAATGTCAATTCTTCGGTCCGGTGGTGCCGAAACATAGGGGTTGCTTTGCACATTGTCACATACATTATAGCAATTTGTAGTTGTTTTGAATTATTTTTGAACTGTTAAAAAATTAAAGTAAAAAATTTTATTTTATTATAGAGTTGTGCAGCCATTACATGAAGAAATAAAGCTTCATTCTCAACTTAGGCATCGAAACATTGTTCAATATTTAGGATCAGTTAGTGAAGATGGTTACTTTAAGATCTTCATGGAACAAGTTCCAGGAGGTAATAAAATTTTACTTAATTATATATTCCTTTAATGGTCATATTTATTTATTATTGAAAATATTACATGTACAGAGTATAAACTTTCATAACAAATTTTTAATTATAACATCATACACAACCATATAAAACAGAAAAAGTGAACTTTAACTATCAAAAACTAATTTTGATCATTTTTAAAATTCTTCATCAGATTAACATTTTAATGTCAAATATTTTAAAAATATATAATGGAAATAGAACAAATACATAAAAGCTTACGTATTTCAATTCACAGGACATTTTATCATCCTTGATAGGTACAGTGGGAATTCTTAGCATGTCCATGTTCACTGGGTGTTTGTCATTGTGAAGTAATTTGTAGACTGTGGTGTTTTTCTGTAAAATATCCTTCTATCAGTAGAACTCCCTATCTCCTTACAAATATTATATAGGGAATGGTGTTCTTATCTCTATAGTCTTGTGAATAGGAGTGTCCTGATGGTTGTTAATCAAAGATTGAATGATTTTAGAGTTGTAATTTTTGATTAACAATCATTGCAATTACCCTGTTCTAAGAGAGCCTTAACTGCATGTGCCTTGGATGTCTCTGTCAAGATCAACTGAATGAAGTGAAAATTATCAAACTTGTTTTGGTCTTATAATTAATTGAATATACGTCTGTAGATTTATAAATCTCAATATGCTCAATATAAACAGCCTCAAGCATATTGAGATTTATAAATCTACACACAAAGAGAATTTGATTAACTACAAGGACCAAGGCATGATACAGAAGGAATGGCATTCTTGGTTTGACATTCTAATTAAACAGCATGAATATGTATTTATATGCCACATTAGATTAATTTAAACCAATCATAATGATGTGATAATCTTTAAAATTTTAAATTTAAGTCTTGTTTGGCTTTTATGTATTTGTTCTATTTCCATTACATATTTTAAAAACATTTGATATTAGAATATTAATTTAATGAAGGTCATTATTGAAGTTAATTTTTATTGCTTTATGTGGTTGAATATAGTGTTATGTTACTGAAGCAGTTTTTCCCTTTAGTAAATTTCAGCTATTTATTCAGCAAAATACACAAATTCCATTGTTTTTATTTGTAAATTAGATGATCACACTAAAATTGTATTTCTTAAAGAGTGTCATAAAAATTCTTTTTTATTGAATGTTTATAAAATTTTATCTTTTAAAACTAAACATATTAAATTAAATGAGATAATTCAAAACAATTTGATGAATTTATGTAAGCTCTTAGTTTTCACAGAGTTGAAAAAGTTAATGAAATCACAAGAAAATTAACAAGTGTTTAATTTTGGTAGTTAATAGCACATAATTTTGCATCTATTTTAATCTGTTTGTAAGTAATAAAATAAATCATAAATATTGATAAAAGTAATTTATTTATTATTTTCCTATAAAAAATGTATTTGATTTAACAAAGTTTTATACTGTTTCAATTTTAAATAACCATTACTAAAACAAAACTTTGGTCAAGAACATAACACAATTAATTGAAAATAGCTTTCTATAGATGATATTTTAAAATTATAATAAAAAAAGAGCCGACACATGAAAACTTTAATTTCTAATCACATAAACTAACTATTGTATTAAACAAGTGTAAATTCCTTAACCTTAACTCAAGAACTTTATTATTATTTTGTGTAATGTGCTGATGAAACTTGAAGTGATGCAAATGGAAGGATTTGTAACTGTCTAAATTACAAACAGAAAACTCACATGTTTATGTAAGAAAATTTATATTTAAATGATGCGATTAATATAACAACAGCAGATTGTTATAGGTATGTAAATATATATATAATTACATTTTATGAAAGTTTAATATATAATTTGTTCATAATAAATTTTTTTGAGAAAGAGATACATTGTTGCTTGTTATTTAGAGATATAATAATATTTACCATGCAGTTAAAATTTCAAAATTTAATCATGTGATGTATTTGCCATGGTATTAATTTTCCAAATTTTTTGATTATATTGAGTTGTCTCAGCTAACAGACTTTTAAGATGCTTTTCCAAAGATTGGTAGTTTGAATTAACTAATCAATGATCTGTTATTCTCTTTGTGATTAAGAAATTTAATTATCATACATATGTATATAATATGCTACTTTGAAAAATTTATAGATATTAATAATCAAGATAAAAATTAATTTAGAAGTCATAAGCAATTGTTAATGAATCTTGTTATACATTAAAGTGTATATTATTAAAATATGTAATATATTATAAGGTTTGTGCTTAATTTCTAAAATTAATAATTTATGTATGTTTACAGGTAGTTTATCCCAATTATTACGTTCAAAGTGGGGGCCATTAAAAGATAACGAAGCTACAATTGCATTCTACACAAAACAGATACTCGAAGGATTAAAATACTTAGTTAGTAAAATGTTTTATTTTTATTTAATAATTTAATGTATTCTCATAATTTTTTCATTTTTTGAGATTTCCTGTGGATAAACAGGAATTTCAATAACATATTTAATATCATATTTTATATGATTAATATAGCTTATCATTGCTGAAAGACTAATATTTAATGATTTTCTTTTGATGGAATCAAAATAGCTGTTAGTAAAATTCATCATTCTCGAGAGCATAAAAACAAAAATTATGATATAAATAAATTCTTGTGTTTTTGAATGTTAAGTTAAAAACTTAAAGATTCAAAATATATATATGAAGTTTGATAACCAGAAGTTATATTTTATATATATATGAAGTTTGTTAACTGTTGGATTGTAGATATATTCAAACTTCTATTTTGAAACACTAATTTTGTATATATTAAAAAATGGAATGTTGCATTTAAATTATTGACCATTATGAAACTGGTATTTTCCAATAATTTATATTATTCATTGCTTTACAAATAGGTATGATTCATATTTTTCTAGAGATTGGATTCTTGATGATGAATTTGGCTAAAGTTTTATTGTCAAATAAGATCTAGCGAAATTTTTTGTGTTTAAATTAAAAAGTATGAAAATGAAAATGTTGAATAAAATTTTTAGTGCATCTCTTTATGTTGTTCAAATAAATGGAATTAAAATCTACATCTCAGAATGATAGACTTAATGTTAACAATTTAGAAATTATGTGTAAACTCTTGTTTATAAGGTAATATAGTTCTCTAAAGTAAGTAATTAAACAATAAAAATGAAAGATATTAAATTTGAAAGTTGGGTTGTCAGATTTAAACAAGTTTTCATCAGTAGGAAATTGGAGATCAGTTTTAGTAGATTGCTGACTTACCTGATTTTACTAAAGTTAACTTATTTTAATGATTGTAATTACTAATATTGTGTGATCAAATGAAAGTATAGCTCATGAGAAATAGTACAGAGAATTTAGTGATGCTGTGAGTTGAACATTGTGACATTGTGAGTTGGCAGTGCATCAAGTACACCTATTTGTATTACGACATTCATGTGTATCTAACAGAAATGGAAAATTTTCTGTTGTTGAAATGTTATGAATCTATTTTGTAATATTTTAATAATAATTTTATTTTCATGTTTATTATGAATCAGTTTAAGATTTTCCAAATGTTTTGATATGGTTTATTAAAAATTTATTTACATTTTTTTAGCATGATCAAAAAATAGTTCATCGAGATATTAAAGGTGATAACGTTTTAGTGAATACATATAGTGGAATTGTAAAAATATCAGATTTTGGAACGTCAAAACGACTCGTAGGGGTTAACCGGGCAACTGAAACTTTTACAGGTAACTTACACTATATTTAAGTCTATAATTTTATATTGCAAAATAAATAAATTAAAAGATTCTTTTACAATTTTGTAGAACTTACTTATTAAATGGTTAAATTGTATTAAAGGTTTAATATTTAATCATCAAAAAATCTACAAAAGGCTGTTTGTGTTAACAATTAGTTAGCTTATGACAGATAATATGAAATCAGAAAAAAGTTTTGTTAAACAAGCTTTAAAATGATCAAAAACATTTTAATCAGTTTTTTAATGTTTGTCTTTTATTAAATTTAATATCATAAAACTGCAATGATCTCATTCATCGACTCAATCATTTCTAACACAAAATATTATAGTAGAAGCAGAATTCTAATAGTTGACAAAAGACATTGAAGAGCATGCCAAAAGAACTCAAAATCTCAAAAAAGCAAAATAATTTGTTCTTTGAGGCATCAAAGTTTGCCTGCTTACATCTGTATGACAAAATGGCATCCATATGATTGATTTTTAAACACTCTCTATTTATTTTAAAAGTTGTAATAACTTTTTAAACACAAAATCTGCTTAATCCATTCAAAATGAAATTGGCCAATGGGAAAGATGTTTGACTGGTTTTTCTATACATTTTTCCTTTATAGCCTGAGATGTAAAAATTTAATCTTAAAGGACATGGAAAACAAAATATTTCAGTACTTAAACTGCAAAGAGTTAATGCAATAAATTTGCTCTTTATTCCTTTAAATAATTTTGTCCTTTTTTCTCAATATTAGTTTTTATTAAAACTTATATTATACAGATTAGATAAGTGAAATAATATATAAAGTTAATATTGTTTACAAAGAATTGTTTTAAATTATAGAAATACAGAGGTGGTTTCCGAGTAACTGAAAACTGTCAAAGACAGTCATGTAGATCCACTAACAATTATATAAACTCTTAACATTTCAAAAGTAAAAATTATGGAATAATTATTCAAAGCTAAAAACAAATTAATGTTAACTAGTTTTTGATCTCATTATTTCATTTATTGGTAAATTCATTTACTTTTAGGTAGATTATTCAAATTTGAAAACTAACAATGAACTTACCAATGAATGGAATAATTAAATTAGTTAATTATGTTTAAACTTTAACTCTTTCTAATTGAAATATTAAATTTTCCGAATTCTAAACATGCAATATTATAATATTTTAGAAACATAGTATCTTAAAAAAGTCACAATTTATGCCTGCCAGTGACCAAGTGGTCTTCATACCTTGAACACTGGGAGTTTGATCGTGGGTTTGTGCCTTGGTTGGATGGGCTGGCCACGTGGAGTTTTCTGGGTTTTCTCCACGTCTGTAATGCCTAAACGGGCCAGTTTCCCTTAAAAAGACCTTCCGGAAGGCAACCCCCTAGGCAGATCACCCAAGTGTTGCATTGCCATAACTTAACAAACAACAACAACAGTCACAATTTATATGCAAATATCTCTAAAATGTTATTAAAAAACCAGAAATATTTTACAGTTAATTAAAAGAAAATCTTGGGTTGAGTTTGATAAATATAGGATTTCCAAAAGTCCATTTTATTAGGGAATATTATTTTAACAATGAACACTGAACAATGATACAATATACCCTATTTTTAATTTGTAGATATTGAGAAATGAGTCGCGATACATTTGCAAGAGTCTCTACAAATTAAAGCTAATATTTAATATTGATGTTGATAACATTATTATTATATTTTAGAAGTAGGTTTTTAGAACATATTCTTATACTTTTATTTAAAAAAAATACAAACTAATTTTACTGAATGAAAGATGATTTTTGCTTACATTCTATGATTTACAAACATTGGAAATAAAAGAAAAACAAATTTCTATTATTAATTAATTGACATTCATTCATTTGATTGATTATTTGATAATAATGTAATAATGAAAATTTTTTAGGCTTTATTTTATGACTTTTATGCATTTGTTTCACTTTCTACATTTTAATTTTAGGTACCTTACAGTACATGGCACCTGAAGTGATAGATAAAGGATTTAGAGGTTACGGAGCACCTGTAAGTATTATTTTATACCAAAATTAGGAATTAAATTATTTAGCTAAGCCTTTAATAAATTATCCGAGAACATGATGTTTTGTTACTGGTGCACATTACATTGAAATCTTGTTAGTTTGTAAATTAGAGCCTTTGCATTTAATATCTTTTATTTATATTTATTGTAATTAAATACATTTTAAAAACAAGATGATAAAGAAATTCTAATAGCATTCCAACTTTTCAGAAATCCATATAATAGATATTAATGGAATCAGAAAACTAATTGGTTCTATTTACAATAACTTTGCAAATACTTTGACTGACTAAATCAGGAGTCGCCAAAGGGATCAATATTGACCCCTGGGGGTCGATTGAAAAATTGAAACAAAAAATCACAAATATAACTATACATATTGTTTTTGAATATTGTTTCATTAAATTTAACAGTACAGCTAATCATCAAAGTGTAAAATGGCTACTGATCAAGTTGCACAGGACAAACAGAAATTGCCGAGTCCATGCTCTGGTTCTTACTTACATACTACGTGTCAATCATCTGCATCATTCGTAAGCTCGTGTTGATTCTCAGTACACTGACATTATTAGCATCTCTCAGCCGTTTTTATGCCACTGTTTGTTTAATTGTAGTATTTCACATATATACAATAAGTGTAAAAAATGTAAAATTAAAAGAAATGTATTAAAATAGTAAGAGATTTTTTTGCTTGTAACACAAACTTTTTGGTGGGAGTCTATGTGGGTTTCGAAAAGTTGTAGGTAGTTGACAATTAAAAAAGTTTGGCGACCCCTGGACTAAATTAATCTTAGGAGAATATATTAACAAAAAGTAAATAAAAATAAACACTAAAATACAAAACCACAGATTTCAAACATTATTGTACATGCTAAAAATAAAAATATATTTCACATGTTTTAAAAAGATGAGAGAAACTGCTAAATTCAGGAAACCAAAACCAAATTTTTTATTTAGAAGCATTTTTGTTCTTTTAAAAGAACATCATCAGCAGAAAATTGTGAAGAGCTTTAGAATAAATACATTCAAACTTTTTTAAAGATTTGGCAAAGTTGTCTTTGTTCAAAGTCATATAATTTGGGTAGCCATGAACCTACATATAACACTATAATGTTATATTTAAGTTTTTTTTTGTTTATTTCCTGTATTTATTTATTTTGATTTCACATTATTTTTATTAATTTTTGTATAATTATAATTTTTTTTTTTTCAATTTTAAATTTAAAGAAGTTCAAATATAGTGATATTCTTTTGAATGTACAGTGGTGCCTCGTATAATGTACGCCTCGAATAACGGACGCTGCAAACAACGGACTTTCTGTTTGGCCGTTACGTGACTCGAACAACGAACTTTCTGCGAACAAGTGCGAATGATGTTTCCACTCGTTTGCCGTTGCCAATGACAATCTGCTATTTTTATAATACTGTATATTAGTATTATTAGAATATATTGATATTATTAGTATATCTGAAGTACAGAGCTCCCGTTGGGATTCGGCTTGCTCTCTTGTTTATTACTTACAGTACATCACCTCAGTGCAGGGGGTATTTACATTTATTCAAGTGTTGTGCAAATCATGGTTTCTAAAAAAACAGAAAGATGATTTCAATTGAAACAAAGCAAGAAATCGTCAGAAAGAGTGAAAGTTGACAAAAACTTCCTTGTCAAATGGGGAGAGGTTCAGGAGTTTACCAACACTCATTATCCGAACAGAGCTGAGGCCAACAGGATCAATGATCTCTACAATGATGTCAAACAGACCACCTTGGACATGATGTTTTCACGAAGCCAGCTGTCAAAAAACAAAGGATGAAACAAGAGGAGTTGACCCTGCAAGCTCCGGTAGCCTCTTCTAAATCTGACTCCGATTAAAAAACAATAAAAAGAGACCTGCTGTAATGTGTAAAAAGTCTGTATCTGTATGAATGTATCAAAAAAGTGTTCCTCCACCTCCTCACAACATCTGACTCTCGGCATAATTGATGACTGCTCCATTTTCATTTTTTTATGGTACGGTTATTTTATGCTGCGGAATGAATTATATGTTTTAACATGTATTTCTACGGGAAAATGCGTTTCGTATAACGGACTTTTCACTTAATGGACGTGCACCTGGAATGGATTAAGTACGTTATACGAGGCACCACTGTATTTGTTCTAATGCACTTTGTAATTTTCCAGCTGACAATGATCTTTTAAAAGAATAAAAATGTTTCTGAGTTTAGCATTTTTTTTTCTCATCATTTTGAACATGGTGCCAAATGCAAATGGTATTTCTGTTGATTATTATGTTTCCCTAAAGATAAACTTCATCAATCTGAAAATACTTAGGAAGTTGTTATTTACAGAAATGATTTTCTATTTTTTCTTTTTTTTTTTTTGTGATGACCATAATAAAATAACTTTTTATGAAAGTAGCAATGGTCAATTATTCTTAAAATATCTTGAAAAAATATCTCAAATGCTCTAGAAAATAATGTCAAGGACTTTGATTGCTGCTTTTTTATTTAGAGAGACATCACAAAACAACTTTTGTTGTAGGCCATTACAGAAGCCAAAGTGTTGCACTCATTGTTACAGATTCTGTCTATCATAATTCAACATATAAAAATTTATAGTGTATATTGTAAAATTATAAAAATAAAGTGACAGTAATAGATTTTCTTTTAAAATCTATAATAAAGGTGTTTAGAAGTTAAGTTTTTGAAAATAATGAATGATTGTGAATTGCTTTATATTATTTTAGGACTTTTCATTGACATATGTTTTTTCATCAATGAAATAAAGGAGATAAAAGTTTTTTACCTGAATGCAAAGTTTAGAGATTTTTGGAATATTAAATCTTAAATATACTATAAAATAGTAGAAGAAAAACTGAAATTTATTTCTGTTATTTGAAAATAGAAATTCATACCATTTAATACTTTTATATATATATAAAAGTATTAAATGGTATGAATTTCTATTTTCAAATAACAGAAATAAATTTCAGTTTTTCTTCTACTATTTTATAGTATATTTAAGATTTAATATTCCAAAAATCTCTAAACTTTGCATTCAGGTAAAAAACTTTTATCTCCTTTATTTCATTGATGAAAAAACATATGTCAATGAAAAGTCCTAAAATAATATAAAGCAATTCACAATCATTCATTATTTTCAAAAACTTAACTTCTAAACACCTTTATTATAGATTTTAAAAGAAAATCTATTACTGTCACTTTATTTTTATAATTTTACAATATACACTATAAATTTTTATATGTTGAATTATGATAGACAGAATCTGTAACAATGAGTGCAACACTTTGGCTTCTGTAATGGCCTACAACAAAAGTTGTTTTGTGATGTCTCTCTAAATAAAAAAGCAGCAATCAAAGTCCTTGACATTATTTTCTAGAGCATTTGAGATATTTTTTCAAGATATTTTAAGAATAATTGACCATTGCTACTTTCATAAAAAGTTATTTTATTATGGTCATCACAAAAAAAAAAAAAGAAAAAATAGAAAATCATTTCTGTAAATAACAACTTCCTAAGTATTTTCAGATTGATGAAGTTTATCTTTAGGGAAACATAATAATCAACAGAAATACCATTTGCATTTGGCACCATGTTCAAAATGATGAGAAAAAAAAATGCTAAACTCAGAAACATTTTTATTCTTTTAAAAGATCATTGTCAGCTGGAAAATTACAAAGTGCATTAGAACAAATACAGTGGTGCCTCGTATAACGTACTTAATNATTTATATATAATACTAAACAGACGATAGCAAACTCAATTTAGCCGCTCCGTAGCGTGGCGCAGGGTCGGAGGAAAGTAGTTCGGCTGCTCATCCACTATTGGTCCAGACTCTATCAATCTTGTCGCGAAACGACGTTATGGGAGGTATGTTTTACGAGAGTTTGTACAATTTTTTCGTTACGTTATAGGAATTGTCGTTATTAGAACGTACGTTATAGGGGGGTCGACTGTATTATATAGAAATAAATACACACAAACAAATATTTTAAAAAGAAATAAAAAAAAATGTTTAACACGAGTGTGTGTGTTACAATTTCAATTATTAATTATTATTAGAAATATATTGCATTGTTTTTTAAATAGTTTTAATGCCTAAATGCTATTTCTGTTTATAAATGTATAATTTTTCAAAATTGTATTTTGCAGGCAGACATATGGTCTTTGGGTTGCACTATTGTTGAAATGGCTACGGGTAAACCTCCATTTGTAGAAGTAAGAAATTTTTTATTCTCTAAATGGAAAGAAATATCTTCTTTTATTAAAGAATTAATTATGATTAACTTGGATATTATATAAATAACTTTAATTGTAGTATACCCATAACTTTGAAAGATTATGTATATTTTATTAAGTTGAAAATACAAATTTTAATTGATATAAATTTTTTCAGATGCAAGGTTTTAGATAGTTAATTTTCATTCAGTGTAGTGAGATAACTATAATTTTTATATAATATATTCAATAGACTTTTGATATAATGACTACTGCATATAGTGAACAGTTCTATTTGCCCTGTTTGTTGTATAGAAAGAAAAGTACAAATGGTTGAAAGGTTACTGTGTATGAATATAAACCTGAAAGGAAGTTGTTGGTTTTTCTTCTTAGTTGAATACCTTGGACCAAACTGCATTAAGTAAGAAAAGGAATTTCACTCAAAATATTTGAGTAATGTAAATTAATAGCATGCTCAGTTATCATCATGTAATGGTCCAGCAGATTTAGTAATGAAGTTTTGAATTTCCTGTTTGATTTTCTTAAGTTATTTAAACAATCTGGTCCATACATTAGCACAATCCCTTGTCTTAACTAACCTGGTTTTTACATTGGAATCCATAGTCCCAACTAACCAAACAATCTGAATGTCAAGACATATATTGACTCTTTGACAGTAAAGATCAGAAATGCTAAACTTTAATACATTGAGAAGTTGTATTTATTTGACATAGACATTTTTGAAGCCAAGAGTCTTCATATTTAATGCTTTTATAGTTCAAATTTAAACAGAATATTTTTATTCACAGTTTATTATTCATATGTGAAATTCTAGAATTTATTTTACTTTTTTAAATAAGTTTGGCTGTACATTTATCCAAAATCTTGTTTAATCAAATCCAAGTTTTGCTATACATTAATATTAAATATTACAAATTTTTTAGTCTTAACTGTTGAATTTCAAAGGTTTATAAAATGCAACTTGATCAAAACTGTATTATACATTTGAGTATATAGATATTTCTTAATTAATGTGATTAATTAATCTTACAATGTTTTTCATTATTCAAAATTATGTTAATCAATTATAATAATTAATGGGTAAAAATATAACTGATCCATTATCATCTGTTAGTGAGGCTCAAAAGTTTTAATGTGTAATTTAATGGATGGTTGCAATTATTCAAAACTGCAGTAATCAAGAGATATCTGTACAATGCTTTATATGACAAATTGAAGACTTTTCAGCATAAATTTTTTCCATAGAACAGAAAAGATTAAAATGTAAATTTTTCTGAAAATATTACAATTATCTATTTATGAATTATGTATTTAAAAAATTATACATTTGATTAATAATTACTCCATTATAAAGAATAGACATACAGTAGAGCATCAATTTTCCGAATCAGTCCGGATAACTGATATTTCGGATAACTGATTTATGTACGAAAAAATAGTTTAACGTATCTGATATCGAAATTTTTCTCTGTTGCGTGTCGCTTTGCATTGAATTTTCGTCGATGTTAAGCCTAACAAAGACTATTGTATCGTTAAAAATTATTTTTTTATTTTGTACAAACAAAATAAATATATTGAAAAATATAAAAACAATAAAAAATTATACTTCAGATGTTAATTTAGTATCAAAAACGTAAAATATTTGAGTAGCCCAAGACATAGCCAAAGATTGAAGCGCCACAGCACTGGCGAAAATTTAAATTTGTCGACTGGAATTCTTTTGGATGATTGACTTTCGGAAAATCAACGCTCTACTGTATTTAATGTTAAAAGTTTTTAAGAGCTTTTTTTTACTCTTTATATATGAATATCAATGTAAGAATATTTTATTTTTATATTTTTGTTCATAAAAAGAGAATTCTTGCTTTTTATAACCTGATTACTTTTTGGGAAAATCATTATGAAGTGAACCATCCTATTTCTTATAAACTTATCATAAATTTAGATAACATTCCTGGAAATATGATTTGAATTATATTACAATATACTGAAATGATAAAATTTGTGACATTTTATAATTGTAATGTAGAATACCCCAGCTTACTTAACAATGGTTTTTGAAAAATTGTTAAGTGAATCATTGTACATTAAAATTCAATTTGTTGTGGGTCAGTGTCATTAAGTCAAAATTTTGTTTGTAGAAATACAGTTTAAGCTGTGTGATATAATACCATTGTGATCAGCAAACAAAAAATATGACATTGCAATGGAAAATTAATGCTAGTTTTAAAAGCAGGGAATCGTGAAGTAAATGATTGTAAAGTGAGAATTGTATTATATATTCTTTATTCATAATAACAATTTTTCAGCTCGGCTCTGCGGAAGCTGCCATGTTTAAAGTCGGTTACTTCAAGCAACATCCGGAAATCCCCGAGAGCATGTCTGACAAGGCAAAGCAGTTCATTCTTCGGTAAAGTTTTATAATTTAATTTAGCCTTAGTTTTTTAAAATTTATAATGAACTATAATTAAATAAAAATTTTCTGGATGAGTATCTAATTAGAAAAATGTTGTTTATATGATTTTATTGACATTTATGTTTGACATTTATTAGGAACATAAAACATTTGTTACTTTAATGTTCATTAATGAATTTAAAACTTAAATTGTAATAAATTAATTAGCCATTATATAAATTTTGATAAAGATCAATTTCCATGGTATAATAATGATGAGGTTCTTAAAACTAGACACCAACCAAATGCCGAAATACTATTGGGCTAGTTTAAGGCTAATTACTAAATGAATTACGTAATCAATTTGGCTCTACAGGTAAGCGTTAGGTGCCCTCTCGTATTAACATTAATAATTATCTCCCTGCAGTTCTAAATTATTTAAATTAATTAATTAATTTATAATTATTAATGTTAATATGAGCCTAACGTTTACCTCTAGAGCCAAATTGATTACGTAATTCATTTTGTAATTAGCCTTAAACTAGCCCAACAGTATTTCAACATTTGGTTGGTATCTAGTTTAGTAATATATCTGGTCTAGCGATGTTGTTTATATGAGATTCTTAAATTTGATCTTCAGATATTGTCCTTTAAACAGGAATTTAAGAATAATGATGTTCCTTAGATTTACTTGAGTTTCTTAATTTAAATTTGAAGTGAAGAATATTTAAATTAAGATAATCAACATAAATATACAAGATTACAATACAGGAACTTAAATATGTTCATGTTTATATAGATGAGACCTAAGATGTCTCAAATGTTGATTTGTACCACTTCTTACATATTACTACTTCAGTCAATTACTTATTTTTATTTAGTTTTATTTGAATGAAAAATTTATATTAAAATTTGTTAATAAACTCAAATTTGACAATAGATTATAATTATAATTCACATTAATATTAAATATTACAAATTTTTTAGTCTTAACTNTAAATTTAAATAAATAAAAGATATCATACTTGTTTCTTATAAGACATTTGATTTACGAATCTTATTGATTAATTTTGATGAAATGATTGATTAATTTAATTTAAATCTTAATAATATAATTAATTAATTTAACTCGTACAGGTGTTTTGAACCGGATCCTGACAAGAGAGCGACTGCAGCAGAATTATTAGAAGAACCATTTTTAGTAGAGTAAGATATTTTGATTTTATTTAAACGTTAACAACTTTTTAATAAGATATTTACAAATAATCTTTATAATATAAATTTTATATTATTATAAAAATATCAGTAAAGATGTAATATGTTAGTGAAAAATTAACAAATGGTTATGATAAGTTAATGACATCAAACATAGATTGATAACCTGTTTATACATTGACAAATATTTATTCCTAATTAAAGTGACTTTTTAATATTAACAAATTATAATTTTATTGTTTAATGAAACCCTTTACTTTACATAAAAAAAATCAAATGATATAATAAAAGTATTATTTGAGTTTTGTTCATTTTCCAAGTGTTATCAATCAAATGACTGATGATTTGCCTTTCCAAGGTAAATCATTTGATCATTTATTTCATTATGATTCAATTAACAGATTTTACCAGAAGAGTTTCTAAAATCCTAATTGTGGCTAAAAGGTTTAAAAATTGTGATTTTTGAAGGTTTCCTTGTAAAATTTGTCAGTTTAATTTATTTAATCATTGTGAATTGATCAAATGACTGATGATTGAATTAATTGATTCATTGTAGTTAAAGACAATTTTTCTAATTATCTGTATAACATAGAGTTGTCTTTAGTTTAATGCAAACATATTTAATACAGTGAATATAATATTCTGAAGTATGATAAAGCTTAATTTAGTTCTGATTAAATTTATTTATTTTGTATTTTATGAATAATCTATTGTTTTCATGGATAAACATTTTTATTAATAACTGTAAATTAGTAAATGAAACTGAATGTTTTACATTAAAGTCTTATGCAAGTTACATATTTTTTATAAAAATTCATTTCTGTTTTGCTAGAGGAGATGAGGATAATACAAAATTAATATAATGTGAAAATAAATTTTAAAATGTTCATATTAATGGTACAAAAGTGCAATTATAATTAGAATTGCAACTTTGTCTTCTTCTAGAACTTTTATTATCAGAAAATTTCTTAATATTAATTAACTAGTTATATAGAATCATGGAAAAAAATCTAATTAATTGATCTGATTATAAAATTTTCTAAAATATAACAAATACAGGTATACCTCGACTTACATCGTTTCGATTATACATCATTTGTCAGAAAAGTATATGGAAAAATAAAAATCAAGTTTAAGTCATTTTATTTGACTTTACGTCTGTTTGCTACAAATATTGAAGTCATAATATCACTAGAAAAACGTTTAAAGCACATAAAATCATATTAAAATATATACATTTACAAGTATTTACAGTACCTGCATTTGTAAATTTAGATCACTTTTTTCTGTACTATACTAAAAACTAAAATTTGTTTGTTTGTAAGCTTAAAATAAAACCTTATTAACCATATATTATTAAAAATGCATTAATAAATAAAATACAGAACCGGGAATGGTAATTTATGGTTTAGCCTAGTGACAAGTAGATTCGGAGACAAGTAAATTCGACTTACGTTGTTTTTCGACTTACATTGCCTCTCCTGGAACCAATTACTGACGTAACGCGAGGTATACCTGTATAAAGGATTTATACAGTATGATTAAAACATAATGTTAACTGAATGGAACATTATTTATATTTATTATTTATAAACAATTTATAATACAAAAAGTTCTCTACAGTGTACTGTACATGACCATAATAAATATATGATTTTCTGCAGTAATGCAATCTTTAACTTTATTTTGCATTGAATTGTGCTTGTATGTTGAGTGATTTTGGCTTTGTTGTTTGCCTCGAGTTCTGCAAGAGCTCAAGGCTGGCATGAAGCCAAAGTTGCTAATGTTACAGATGCTGTAATGCTAAACAAAATGGGTTTGTTTTTTATATTATTCCTTGAGATATGCCAAAGAAATATTTGAATTAAATGACACTTGTTACTCATTTTTTTGGGTAATGTGACTAGAATCACCTTGTATTTGAAGATATAAATAACTGAAAATAGAAGGAATTAAAGTTTGGTTTTAAAGAAATTCCTTTTGTAGAAACAGATATGTTTGTATTTATTTTCAAAGAGAAATTTATATTAGGAAATTAATAATAAATTTATTTTGTAATTAATTTCTTGAGATAGAATTTGCTGCAAATGTGTAATTTTCTGATATAATCCCCAATTTTTGTTTTTGCAGTGTGGGACGAAAAAAGAAAGCTCATCGTCCTCTAGGACCAGATTTTCCAAGAAGCATTTCAGGTACATAAACCAAACTGTTTATTGAGGATTGTAATTAGTTTGTTTTGAATTTATCTCCAATTTCAGTACCTGCAGAAAGAAATTTCCGACTGGAGAAACCCGATCGGGTTGGGAGATTTGCCAGTACGGGAGACGAAGGGTAAAACCTCCTACTTTCAATTTTATTATTAATTCATTGCTTTAATTTAATTTTATGAGAATATTGTGCACTGAATTCTAAATTTATTAATTAAAATAAAATTTAAACATATTTAAGTATTGACATAAAAATTATAAATATTGCATCAAATGCATACAAAGAATTAAATCTTTAATGTTTCGAATGTAACATTGTTTGAATTAAAACAAAATCAGAAAAAATTGGAAATCTCGTAAATTATGTTAAGTAAAAGAACAAGTACATTCTTTCTACATTTAAACGCATACAAATACATTATTTTGTCTAAAAATATGCAAAAAATTGAAATTGAGTTGTTTTTCCAATAGTTTGTTTATAATATCAGTGAAAATGGGTTGTTGTTTAGTGGCAAAGATAATAAGATATAAGCTTGGGACCAGAATTTAAATCAAATTCATAACTACATTTATGAGTAGTTTGACCCAGATGTGTTGAAATCTTGTTTCTCAATGCCTGCTGTCCTCATTGTGGTCTGGCTGCTCCTGTGATAGGTATGAGAAAAAGTCTTTTTAGTGTTTATAAAGTGGAAAGTTTTTAAAAAAATGCACTTGGATTGTAAATTGTCTATGAAAATTTTGCATTGTCTGATTTTTTATGAATTGTTCTGCCCAAAAAATTTGCTCTCTTCTGATTTAGTTTACTTTACACAGCTATATTTTGAATTATTTTCTGTTTGAGCTGGACTTACACAAATGCATTAGGTTAAATTTCTTCAAATTATTTTGCTATTTGAATTAGAAATACAGTAGAACCTCGATTATCTGGACTAATTGGGGATGAAGGTAGTCCGGATAAGGGAAAAATTCAGATAATCAAAACAAATACTTGAATTTGTCTTTTAATGATAATACAACACGTTTTCTTTTTGATGACAAATTGGTAATATTAAAAGTAAATACTGTATTTAAACTGTGATCAAATTTTCAAGAAACAAACGTTCGTATTGAATTTGGACTACTACTGACCAATGCTAACAGACTACCTATTGTTTAAAAGGCCCTCTGGTAGTGCAAGAAGACGGATTTTATAAAATAAAAAGCAGTTGAAACTGCATTTTTATGAATAAAAATTTGACAAACTATTTATCATTTTATGACAAGTAAAATTTTTTCGTTGCATTCGCAGCTTTTAAGTAATGTATAAACCTTCGAAACGTGAGGCTTTTCGGACCGCGAGGCATAGGCGGTGGCCCATGTTGCCCATGCCTTCTGCCGCCCTTGGTCATAGAAACGATGTAATTTGAAAATAAATTATTTATAAATACGTATGTCAAGTTATATTTTTATTACGACGCAAAATATATTTAAGAGTTTACAACCACTGTGCTGGGTGAGACGTTGTTGAAACAAAAAATATTATGCATTCCATCATGTACATAAACAGTATCATAATTCGCCAAGTGCAAATCAGCAAATTCGTAAAATTTTTGTTTATTTTGAACAATCCGGATAATCGAAAATCCAGATAATAGAGGTCCGGATAATCGAGGTTCTACTGTAATTATATTTATTAAAAATATATTTTTCAGTTTTTCTATTTATTTATTTTACAAGCCACAAAACTTAAAATATTCCTTGTAAAATAAATGAATAGGAAAACTATATGTAATTTGTACATTGCCGAATGCTATTGTTATGTGCTTTTCTTGTTACACTAATTTCAAAACCAATATTCCTGCACTAAAATAGAAGTTATACTAAAATAATTTGATTTGTTAAAATTTATTACTGCCATTTTCATTAGATAAATTTTTTCATTGTATCAGAATTATTAAAATTTATCTGCTAATTCATAAATTTAATTGAGTTTAAATTATCCTTTAAAAACAAAAATAAATTTCCAGAATTTGTTAAAATTTGCTAATTAATTAGATTAAAATTGCATTTAATTGTTTAATTGCAGTACCATGTAGTATCAAATTTAGTAATGTTAATTAGAAGAGAATATTTTTGTAATGTTATGGAATTTTTGTCTGTTTTGCTGAACGATTTAAAAGAAAGATATTGTCGAAACTCACAACTTAAGGTAAATTGTTTAAAGCTACTATTACCATACACAAAAAGACTTCATAGATTAAAAATTGAAAAATATTTACTTTAATGGAGTCCAAAGAACAAAATACATAAAAACACAAGTTCTAACACTTTTGGATTTAATCTGGAATGCTTAAAGATTCTTAGAATGTTGTTACTAAGATTTAGTTTAGTTTACACAGGTTTCATTAAATGGTATTCATTTTTAAGGAATTATGACATTTATGATCAGAAATTTATTTTATTCAGTTATTGCTTAAATTGATGAGCATAAATCAAAAGAATTAGCATGTGTGTTTTTGTGTTCTGTTTTGTTTTCTAGATCCATTAAAGCAAGTGATTTTTTGCCTTATGAATTTTGTTTCTTTACAGAATTTTCCTTACTACTATTTTTACAGGGTCGGGCACCAAAATTTTTATAAATTTCTTACTAAAAGAATTTCATTGTTTTTGCCAGAATAATTTAGAGAACAAATTTATTTTTATTTTTCTTACAAGTAATTGGATATCAAATTAAGAACATGTAATAAACTCTGAATAAATGAACAGATGCAAACACATTTACAAATGAAGTCTACACATTTTTACTGACTTGTGAGATAGAATCATATAATTATGCTAAAATATATACTTCTAATCTTAATATTTTTATTACGTTAATTACTGTTATTCTGGAGATATTTTTTATATTTTTATTGTCATTTAGAAAAAGATTTGGTTTAATTTCGTTAGTGTTTTTACCACAAAACTGAAGACTTATGGAAATTTTGTCAATAAAATGAACTGTCTCACTATCAGCCATTTGGCCAATATCGAGCTATTTCTGTTGAGATTGTTTCAAATTTGATTGATATCTTTCTAATTTATTGTAAGTAGTTTGGATGAAAATATCTTTTCTATCCCTCACTCATTCTGATTGCTCCAATTAAATTTGGCACCAAGTAATAACCATTCTGTTGAGTTTGACATACATATTTTGATATTCTAAAATGTGTTTGACCTATATTGGTAATGTGTTTGGCTTCTAACAGCAATTTATACAAGAAATTATGATTTTTTTGTTTTGTCTGTCTTGGTTGACATTCTGAAACTTAAAGATTTAATGATGGTAAAAATTCCAACAAGTTTTATTTGTGTTTTTAATAATATTTAATCATTTTATAAGACTATTCTATTTTAAGTTTGATTAATAATAATTTCATGATGTAATGCTTGGAATGTTGTTGAATGTCTTTGTTGTTGTTGTGTTTGTTTGCGGATGCATGCAGCTTTATTGTTAAAATGCTTGCCGCTGGCCCAATTTTGAAACCTAATCTGTTATTTCTCTTCCTTTTATTAAGCTCATCACTGTTCATGTGTAAGACGAGTCCGTCCGATTCTCTCCCACGAACCCCGACTTCGTTCTCTTTCAGGTAGGGGGCGCCAAAGTTAAAATTTTCTTACTTTCGATTACGTTATATATTAAACCATTCATCAACGATTGTAAACATTTCCGTCACAACGGGCGCTCCTACCGACTCGGTAAATGTTGCCTGTTTAAACATTGGTCTCGAGTAACCGAAACAAATATGATTACTAACTTGTCAAAGTGTGTTGAATTTAAATTCTATGTGCATGACAAATAACTAATTTAAGTAAGCTGAATAACCCATTAACTTAAAATATTCATGAAACTGTTTTAAAAAAAAAGTGAGAAGTAACAATTAATAGAACTTTAATAAGTTTTTTGCAGAGTTAATTGAATTTTAATGAAAATAAAACTTACCCAATAATAATTTGCCATTAACAAAAGATAAAAATTCTTAATTAAAGTATAAATGTAATTTTAAATGACGTTTTGTTTCTGTTTAAGAGAAAGCAAACGAGTAAAATATTTTAAATAAAAGTTGAATGAGTTACATACACAAATACAGACAGGCCATATATAGAAATTACTTCAATCTAAGATGTGCTCCTACTTAAGAACATAAAAATGGGTTGCATCTTAGAATTGGGAAATACAACAATTTTAAATAAATAAATATTTAAAGCAATAGATTTCTATACAAACATTTTTGACTGTCGTAAATATTTGCCTTTTTATCCAAATCTAAAGTTTTAACTTGTAAATATTATATATCAGAATGTGTAAAATTTAAAAATTAGCATATATAACACAGGAAAAAAGAGATTTTTAGATCAATACAGGCCAGAAACATAACCAAAATAGTTTATTAATTAAATTAATTAATTAATTAAAGTTGAATATTACAGTTAACTTTAGTAATAACTGTCTTCAAGATATCTTTGAATAGATAACATATAATTGGATTGGATATTTATTATTCTGTTTAGTGACCAATTACTTTGTTGTTATCGTATTTACTTGATTGTAAGATGTGGCTTAATTTCTATGTGCTTACCACAGATTTTATTTTTAAATAAAGAACTCAAGACAAATTTATGTTCACAGAATTGTTTGATATTTATTGCAAGTAAAGTAAGTTATAAATAATTTTCTGTGGTATTGAAATTGGAAATCTTTTTGCTTGCCATGTTAAGCTCTTCTGAATCAATGCTAATGTTGTTTTAGTCATATTCCCAAGTGTTAGTTTGATTTTAGTAAACTAAAACTATGCTAATCAATGCTAGATTTAATGTTCAATTCTACTCAATGCCGTTTAAAGCATCGGAAATGAAACATTTTTTGAAAGAGTGCTGCATGACTTTTCTTGGGACTTTGTCTAAGTACTTATGATGTTACTATGCTAATAGATTAAAGAGACTGAGCTAAGTCCATCTCTTAAATATTTTCTAATACAAATATTGGTCTAATAAAATCGTTAAAATGATGCCATAGAATTAGTGACAAAAATTAAGACACACAATACTAGAGGTTACTAATTATGATATATTACATTGAATCGAAGATGCATCCTATTTTCAAAGACACTGAAACCTGAATTAAAGTATATCATACATTTGGGTAAATACAATACTTTTAATGTCTTCAGAATAACAAAGTACTTGACTTCAAAACTTTTATTTTGGATACAGTATTTATGGTATATATCAGTGGTGCTCAAATCTGGGCCAAATCCAATCCATGAACATATTTGACATATTATTTATAAATGTTAGAAATAGGCCTAGTTTTCATGTGTGTGGAATATACAAATTGCACCTAATTCCTACTTACGAATTAGATGCAATTTAGCCTGCCAATCCAAATGTTTGGGTACAAAAGTCATAAGTAGGTGAACCATTTATAGCATACATATTTATAGCATACATATACAATACTATAATATATGTCAAATGCAATTTTTCAAAAATTATATTAATGTGTTAGAATGATATATGTGTGATATATACAAAGAAGTTATCATATACCATCTTTAAAACTACAATAGGGAAGTTCAACAAATTTAAACAAATTTGTTGAACTTCCCTATTGTATAAAAACAAATTTTATTATTGTTTTTATAGACAAAAATTAATAAAACATATAATGTTTTTTAATTTTCAAATTATCCAATATATTAAAAATGTAGAATTATAGCATAACTTAAATACTAGTAACTTTACTATTAAAATACAGAAAAATGTTTTCGGATGTTTGACTCCCACTTTTGGGTCTTTTCGATCAAATCCTTTGGTATTCAAATGCTAACCAAACCGACATTTCAATCTTTGGAGTTAATAACTCTTCATTGGATTTTTACAAAAGTTTGAACAAACTCAAATTCTATACATTCTAAAGAATTTATGCCACAATGTATGCTTAACGTAGCATAATAATAGGAAACATAAATTATGATAAAGATTGATTTACATACAAGAATAAAAATGGAATTAATGTTGTAACTGAAATGCAATTTGAAAATATGTTTACAGAATAGCAAAATTATGCCATTTTCTACCAGTAGCAACAAAAATTGCATCAAGCATTAACATTGCATACTTTTAAATTTGAAATTAAATATTTTTTGAATGCATTTTACAAGTATTTTTTTACTTTTAATATCATAGATCCTAGTCCGTTTCAGTTTTAAAGTAGATTAGGACTTCGTGAAATTCCTATACTGTGTGTCGTCTATAAATAAATTTATTGTCATAACTTCAACTTTTATCAAGTTAAATTATAGAGTAAACTATTTCAATATAAAATTATAAGCTTATATTGAAATTTATTTGCTTTTTATATTTTTCTTCTTGTATTTCTAAGTTCTGAATTTTACATGTATTAAAAATCCAAAATTCAAAGGAAAACTATTGTAATTGAGGAAGTGTGGCACTTTCTCAAGCAAAAAAAAACCAGTAAAATCTTTGCCAGAAAATTAATGACAATAATACATTTTTTGTATTAAATGATTAAATAGTCATTTAAAACTTGCATTAAACATATACAGTGATAATTAAAGAATGTGTTTAATCTAGCAAATTGGAATTAATCTCTTAACAAATAGATACATTGGTTATTGCAAATAAATACCGATGCCTTACGTTAATAAGTTTAATGATTAAACTTATTAACATAGAGTATATTTATACATTTAATAATAATATAGAATTGTACAGAAATAGGGCTTAAAGCTATATTCCCATAAGTATCGAGTCAGCCAGAATGTTTTACATGGCTCTTTGCAACAGTTGTTTTCGGACACTCCAAAATGAACTAACTACAGTCCAAATCTTGAAATTTTTTGAGAGGTTACATAATCAGATATCGATGAAACAAAATTTTTGATTTGTTTTTGTCAAAATGGCCATGATTGGATGATGCAAACTTTTCTACATCATGCATTTTGATAAAGCAGCAATGAATTCATTATGAATATTAGCAAAGCCTTCAATATCTGTAAATTATTAAATGCATGATTTTGCATTGTGTACAATTGTTATAAGTAAATCTTGTGACTTTCAAATTCTCAAACTTGTTCTTGTCATGTAAAATTCTTGTCAATTGAGTTATTGTGGTTTAATATTGCTCATGATTTAGTGGCAGTTTCGGAAGCAAACAATGATTCTAAATTGTAGTTTGGCCATAGTTTTTGATGGTTTAATGATGCAATGTTAGAAATTAGTGCCAAATTATGTAATGATTTATATTACATAATTTTATGATGTAAATTGAATTATAATGAAAAAATAACCCATAATCTCTGTTCACTTAATCGTTGTTTATAATCATAAAAAGTTTGCAGTAAATCCGAACATGATTTTGAATAACCAAATCTACAAAATTCAGAAATTTTTTTTTGTTTTAGAATTAAGCTAATTATTAATTAATTAAATTATAGGATTTGACCCAAAGGTAGAAGATTAAGCTGCAATATCATGCTAACGTAAATAATTGGAAATTAATTTTGAATTTTAATTAAATGATATAGAAAATTCTGAAAGAAAAGATTAGTCTGAAATCAAACTCTAATTCTCAAGTTTTGCTCGTTGCACAGACATGACACCAATTAAGTTGTCCAGATCTCCATCCACTCTTTAGTTTCAGATTATACTAAGTTAATCATTTAACCATATTTGCTAATTGTCTCTGCACCAACTGGGGATGTCTCGCTTGCATGACCTTAAATGATTACTGGCGAACATTTGGCCAATCCATGCTATAAGCGTATCATAAATTGTAGTGTGAATTTTTAGTAGTCAAAAGTCAAGATAGTAATTAAAAGTATCTTAACCTTTAGGTTAAATTCTGCAGTTATTCTATAAATATAAACATTCAATTCAGTTGCTAGTCAAATTACTTTATAATTACAGGCATACCTCGACTTACGTCGTTTCGAGTTATGTCGTTCCCGATTATACGTCGTTTGTCAAAAAAGTATATGGAAAAATAAAAATCAAGTTTAAGTCATTTTATTCGTCTCTACGTCTGTCCGCCACAAATATTGAAGTCGTAATATCACTAGAAAAACGTTTAAAGCACATAAAATCATATTAAAATATATACAAGTATGTACTGTATTTACAGTACATGCATTTGTAAATTTAGATTACTTTTTTTCTGTACTATATTAAAAACTAAAATTTATTTGTTTGTAAGCTTAAAATAAATTTTTATTAACCATATATTATTAAAAATGCATTAATAAATAAAATACAGAACCGGGAATGGTAATTTATGGTTTAGCCTAGTGATAAGTAAATTCGGAGACAAGTAAATTCGACTTACGTCGTTCTCCTGGAACCAATTACCGACGTAAGGTGAGGTATACCTGTATTATTAAAATTAACCTTAAAATAACTTGGTAGGCAGATTTGTTTGTCTTTAGTTAAGTTTTAGCTCAAAAGTAATTTGGAGTTTAGATGTATTCGGCAATTAAAGAAGAAAGCTTCATTGCATATTACTCTTCTAGATCAAGATTTTGAGAATTTTATTTTTTTGGTGGAATCTCATTGCATTCTTATAGAAGTTAAGGAATTGAATTTAATAATATGCAAATCTTACCACTCCGATCGCACTCTTTATGATTAATAATTATATGAAATAGTTGGATATTATGCTGAATGTTAACTCTATTCTAGTCCTGATTCTTATGATTTTTTTTTATTGATTGTTTGGGTTTTATGTATAAAGCATTCTACATTTGAATCAGTCAAATCTGTTGGCAATTCACAAAATTGAGACTGCTTATTATGTGCAAAACACAAATCCAATATGGTGTACTGTACATATGTACACCATATTGGATTTGTGTTTTGCACAATAAGCAATCTTTGAACATAATCAGTAAAAAATTAGTAATATGAGAAAAAGCATTATTTGGCTTTTAATGTTAATGCATGTTGTAATATTTGTGTATTGAGACATCAAGAATATGTGTATATAAAATATAGTGTCTCCCAAAAAGAATGCTATATTAAGCATAAATGTGCAATTTAATTGGAATTTTGATTTGATTTTTACATTTATAAAATTACAGAAATTGAAAAATTCAAGACATAATAAAAAAGAAAGACTTTTAGACATTACACTTTATTGTGTAACTTCTGAAGACAGTTTGTATTGTGTGTGTTTTCTGGGGTGCTTCATACTTATCTTTTAAATGATGATGATGATACATGTTAAATCTGTACTCTGTGTCAAGAAAAATCTCTAAACACAACTGTTTTGTAATAGAAATGTGCAAAACGAGCAACTGTTTTAAGTCTGGAGTACTTTCAGACTTTGGTTATATCCAAAGTCCGAAAGTAAGTAAACATCACAGAGATTAAATGGTAAAACATTTTGCATATTTTGACTGAGAAAGCAGAGTGGCGGATGACCATGAGAATTGAAGTCATTGTTTCAATTATGATTTTGCTTGTAGTAGAATGCTTTAGTGGAGTATTAGTTCAAACTTATGACAAAGAATTTGCAAATCCTTTTGAGGTTATACTTGATTTTGGGCAAGTTGGTTTGAATAATGATTCTATGGCAATTTATGTCTTTTTTATTCAAACAAACTTATCCACGATTGTAAAAGTTCTCACAAAGGTTTTAATTGTAATTTCCGATGGATGCTCCACTAAGCAATTTTATGTCAAGTTTATATTGTCGAGTGCAGCTTGTGGCCTATATTTTTAAGATTATACACACCATTTAAGACATTTGAAAATGTAACAAAGAAAAACCTTGAATGGCTTCAAGCATTTTAAAAATACCAAAAAATTTATTATTAGGAATGCAGCATTATTGTAGATACAATCATTGGATGGCTGGCTTTTTCCGACAGTGAGTTCACTTAATATTCAAAAGCTCTCAAAGGACAGATCATTATTTTGTGTGTTTTTATATTTTTTAACTCTATTAATGTATATTTTTTGTCTTAAGTAACCTTTCCTTCTTTATACACAACAGTATAATATGTATAAAATTCTTCCTGTTTAATTGTATCGATGTATATTTGTTAAGGGTCATTTTTTTGAAAACGTCTTCATACTGAATACTGTATTTATTCGATTCTAAGCTATGGTTCAATTTCTTGATGGGTTTTTATGAAGAAATAAAAAAAATACTGGTGGTAGGATTTATTTACAAAGTTCCAAAAAATGAGAAGTAACAAGGAGTGAGAAATTAATTTGTTAAAAAAAAACTTAAATACACATTTAAAATAAATCGTAATTGCTCTTGCTATCACTATCATAATGGGGAGATGATTTGTCGGTCACACAATCACAGCTGACTTTGGAACTGGTGTCGGTGTCATTATTTTCCTAAACTAAGTCGTCTTGTGTGCTGTTTACTGCATTTGTAATTCAGCATTTTTTAAAGGAATAAATTATTTTACTGGAAACTTCCCTTGTGACAGATACTTGTCAACCATTTTTGAAGCACTCACTGCCTTTATTTTCCACGAAGCAGTTAAAGTGTGATTTTGCAAAGATAATCAATTTTTGTATTTTTTTCTTATGTAATCCTTAATAAAAAACTTGTTGCAAATGTCAAGTGACTGAAGTCAGCTCGCAATATTATTCTATGGCAGATTGATAGATCATTTCCAAAAAATGGATTTGGACTAAAAACTATTGGTCAGATAACAAAATTAGGTTGGGGGGATATTAGACTTGGCATAGAATAGATTTACTTTAAAAAATTTGTCTTTTCGGGTAAAATTTAGCTGCCTTTGAATGTAAGCAGCACCTGATTTTTGGGGACATTAAAAAGGCAAGAAAAGTGTGGCTTAGAATTCAATAAATACAGTATTTTTCTAGTCTGTATGTTTACTTTAGCTAAATATACAAATTATTTAATATTTATAATACTAATGTAATTTTTGTCAACCTCGTGTAGTTCTGAAGGTTCTGACTGTACGATCAACGGAAGCATGAGGAGATCCAGCTCCGGGATGCTCAGTCCTCCTGTTGATGGGCCGCAGACGGAACAGGACCAGGGTGGTTTCTACATGTTGAAAAAGGACTCTCAACGTAGAATTACACTCATAAAAGTCTTAACAGACCACGTGGAAAGGGTAAATAAATACCTTTGTTGTTTTAAATTAAAATAATAAATGCTCTTTGTTATTTTAATTTTTTGTCTGTTACATGAACAAAGTTTTACAACAGGATTGGGATAAAATAAATTAGGTCTACAAATAGGTGATTTTATACATTGTCTTAAGCCCAAATTTCATAAATTGCCAGTTCTACATTTACTGCAGCTTAACTAGCTAGATTGATTAAATTAGGCAAAATTCCATAATTTAATCAATCAGTTACTAACTAATAGATCATTTTCATGTTCTAGTTTTGTTAGATATACAGTAGAACCTCGATTATCCGGACTAATTGGAGATGAAGGTAATCCATATAAGGAAAAGTTTGGATAATCGAAACAAATACTTTAATTTGTCTTTTAATGATAATACAACACGTTTTCTTTTCGATGACATATCGGTAATATTAAAAGTAAATACTGTATTTAAATCGTGATCAAATTTTCAAGAAACAAACGTTCGTATTGAATTTGGACTACTACTGACCAACGCTAACAGACTACCTATTGTTTAAAAGGCCCTCTGGTGGCGCAAGAAGACGGATTTTATAAAATAAAAAGCAGTTGAAACTGCATTTTTATGAATAAAAATTTGACAAACTATTTATCGTTTTATGACGAGTAAAATTTTTTCGTCGCGTTCGCGGCTTTTAAGTAATGCATAAACCTTCGAGGCGCGAGGCCCTTCGGACCGCGAGGCATAGGCGGTGGCCCACGTCGTCCATGCCTTACGCCGCCCTTGGTCATAGAAATGATGTAATTTGAGTATAAATTATTTATAAATACGTATGTCAAGTTATATTTCTATTATGACGCAAAATATATTTAAGAGTTTACGACTACTGTGCCGGGTGAGACGTTGTTGAAACAAAAAATGTTATGCATTCCATCACGTACATAAACAGTGTCGTAATTCGCCAAGTGCAAATCAACAAATTCGTAAAACTTTTGTTTATTTTGAACAATCCGGATAATCGAAAATCTGGATAATAGAGGTCCGGATAATCGAAGTTCTACTGTACTTAGTTTTAAAGTCTAATTGTGGCTCACATTTAAGCTGGGTAAATTGTAAAACATTACACCAGACCTAAATGTTTTTATGAAAACTTATAAAGATATAATGTAATGATACATATTTTAATTCCAAACTTTATACATATCAGAAGACAAAAAATAGCATTGGAGGTATGATTGATGTAAATTGCATATGTGAGTTAAAGGTTATTGACTTTGGTTTTGTTCTGGATCACTTTGTTTTTCTTCCAGACAGTTGCAAATTATTTAGTAATAAATTTTTTAATTCTTTATAAGATAGTTAAAATGCCAATTTCATATCTTTTAATTGGATTTAGTATATAAATAGTTTATAAATATAATGTGGATGTTTGACTTAACTGTAGTCCAAATTACACATTATTAGAGAGGTTGAGGCACAAGTACAAACGTTAAATTTGTATGGCAAGCAGAAGTACACGTTTCACATTTTTAAGTCCAAGTAAAAGACGTTGCAGTGCTTGTTCACAACATCATGTGATTCAGTGAATGGCGCACATTGACTCATGGGAAATTTGTTGACAAAATGGCGCATACATTTAACATTGAGGGTTACCACCAAAGGTAAATAAACAAATTAAACTGTTTAAAGCATTTATAGGATGTTTAATAACACTAAATAATTATTTTTAATTAGCATTGTGTCTCCTAGTGTACAATCGGACAATAGGACTACCTCATACTTTTGTCAAGGGAAGTAGTGACTTATATAAATTTGAAAGCAGCTTGAATGTGCAAAACGAGCAACTGTTTTAAGTCTGGACTATTGATAGTCGAAGATGCTGTGGAAGAACAAACCTACCTTAAGATAACCTATTATGAAGACAAATACAGTAGAGCGTTGTTTATCTGAATAAATTGGGGACTGGGTTGTTCGGATAACTTATTTTTCAGATAACTGATTATGTATGAAAAATATACTAACCTATCCCATGTTGAAATTTTTCTCTGTTGCATGTTGCTTCACGTTGAATTTTCGTCGATGTTAAGCATAACGAAAACTTTTTAAAATAATAATTGTGGTTATTGTATCGTTAAAAATTATTTCTTTATTTTGTACAAACAAAATAAATATATTGAAAAATATAAAAACAAAAAAAAAAAATATACTTTAGAAGTTGATCTAGTATCAAAAACGTTCGATTCAGCATGACACAGTCCTCAGAAAAACACCACACAAAAATGCCAGTGCTGCCAGCTAAAACACATACACCAGCAAAAAAAAAATATTGGAGTAGCCCAAGATATAGCCAAAGATTGCAGCGCCACAGCACTAGGGAAAATTTAAATTTGCTGACTGGAATGTTTTCGGATAACTGGTGTTTCGGATAACCGACGCTCTACTGTATATGTAAATTCTACAGGCACTTCACATCACTTGCTAAAAAATTGAATAATTAAATAATTTCTGGATTAAAATCGTCTGTTTCTTTACAATATTATTCATAAATGCAAATAATTATTATTTTAATAAAATACGTCATAATTTTAACCACAAACATAAAAAAAAAAGAAGTTTAAGCCTATCGTCTACTCGCCATTCTAGACGTAGCAAATGCCATTATTGACCATATAGAATTGCCAGATGGTGGTGCTTGTCTGTCCACTGTTCATATTTTGGGCTGAATACGTGCATCTCAACCTCTCTATTATGTAAAGTTGTGTCAAAAGTTAGGTGGCGCACAAATATTTTGACATTTACTTAAATGTTAAATTAAAGATTTTATAATGCTTATTACCAGTATTTTAGTTTAAAAAATTTGAATATAATGTGACATTTTAAGTTAACATGCAAAATATGGGCTACAATTTCTTTTTTTTTTTTTAAATAAAAATTAAATCATAGGCATTCAAAACATTCCTCATTATTTTGCAAACTGTTAGTTTATAAGATTTAAAATAATACTTTTAATATTCATTACATTACATGTAATTGTAGTAGTAATTAGACATCTAATGCAGTTTTTTAATATAGAAATCATTATTACAATTTTTCAGATTTGTGATATTTGGATGAAATCATTAGTTTCACACATCCCAAATGTATCTCTGACAGTAGTAAGTGAAAATTTGTATATTTATTAGTTTAATACATTCATAATATCGATTCTGAGTGGTGATTATTTTGTTGAAACAAACTGATCAACTTATGTGATTCGTTTTTTTTAAATTGCATATCTAACTTAATAAGAAATCAGTTTTTAATTACTTTAACATATAAATTAGGCTTTGTTGCATCTTAATTAAAAGAATCCGAGAAATGATAAAAAAAAAAACATCATAAACACAATGTTTAATTTAATAAAAGTAAATTAAATAACCAGTTGTTTTTGATCTTCTGCCCTACATTAATATATATATTTATACACATTAATGTAAAATGTAATAATATATTTTTATTCATGCAAAATGTAAAGAAATTCTTCTATATCTCCCAAGTTTGTATTTATGAATTCTTTTGTAGTTCTAACTCTACAGTAAACTCCATAATTTATTTTTATTTTATTATTTCTGATCTTTCCATAATTATTCTGTTTTGAGATAATTGTTTTTCTTCCATCAAATTTTTCTAATAATATCATGCTACTTATGCGTAATGACAATTTAATCACGGGTCTTTTGTCATTAACACCAAAGACTGTTATGAGAAAAATAAACTATGGGTCTGCAGTATTTTTAATTTATCTCTGTCTTGGAAAATTTTTGTTTTTAAAGTATATCTTAGAATCAAGGAAATTAAGAATGAAACAAAACAAAAATGTTTAATCTACATAAGGAAGTTAAAAGTTACTTTCAGAAGTAAGTAATCACTTCAAGTGATCATTTTCAGGTTTTTAAATGATAAATTTGACACAAATCACTTTGTGATTGACAATGTTTGCTTTAACAATAAATTATTTGCTTATTTAAATATAATTCTTTACTTTGAATTATTCCCAAATTGGTTAACAACATGACACATCAACCATTATAACATTTTAAGAAAAGAAATTGTAGACAAGAGATATAAATTGGTAACAATCAGATGTTGATTGAAGTATTTTTTTCTTAAGGTCAAGCTACTGATCAAGATACTGCAGTCAGATCCTTGGGAAACTGGACCTGACTGCATCTTTAAAATACTTAATGAATATGTTTTTACACATTGTCTTAGTACATACAAGACTGAAAGACTTTTAAAAATTTATGTCAACAATACTTATTAATATTATATTTAGCATATTATTTAACATGTTTATTTTATTTATATGAAAATTATTTGATAGAAGAGACTTGTAATGAATTTCTTTAAATATCGAATACAGGACAATCTTCATGTATTAATTAATGGACTAAGAGATTTTATTCCGGAACAGAATAAAGCATCGATACAGCAAGCCATTAGTAAGTTGTTTTATGTATACTATGTAATCTATCAATATTTTATAATTTATAAAAATATAAGATATTAATGATATCTTTAATTCACAAAATATTTACTTTTTATTTATTCTGAAGCTTCATTAGTATTTTCACTTTTTTAAAATACAAATCAACTATTAGAATTTGAATTTAACTTCACAAAAATAATTATTTGTACAGTAATACCTCTGTTTTCATTGACTTCGGTTATCATCGGTTTCAGTTTTTGTCGATTTTTTTGCAAAAAATTTGTCTTAGTTTTCATTGATTTTGTCAGTGTGCCCAAGTGACTTTGCTACTAATTTTGTGTAAACGAAGGGCAACCCCATTTTTTCTGGCTCAGTGTGGCATTATTTTTTGTTGTGTGAGCATTACCCCACGATGACCCACCATTGGCCAATGGTTCCATTCCCTGAACACTGGGAGTTTGGTCGCAGGTTCATGTCTCGCTGGGAAGTTTTCTGGGTTTTCTGCACATCTGTAATGCCTGAATAGGGGCCAATTACCCTTAAATGGACCTCCCAGAAGGCATTATTCCCCACAATACGACCATTATAAATGCATACAACTACTATTACATGACAATTACATCACACTTTACCATGGGGCGATATAGGGTAGAAGCTCATGTCCAACTAACTTCTACAAGACATTACCCCATGCATCTAGCCAAACAATTCCATTTCTTTCCTTTAGATTAGTTTTTTTATATTAATTTCTTATTGCTTTTAGTATTTAACACTACATTAATTCTCTATAAAATGTGTTTTTGGTATGTATTTTGGAGTGTCTAGAATGAATTAATTGGATTTACATTGATTCATATAGAAATAATTGCCTCAGTTTTGGATTTCGCTGATTGTTTTTGGACAGATTATTGATGAAAACTGAGGTATCACTGTATTTTTTGTTATTGCTTTTAGTTTTAAAATATTTTTATGAAGTTAGCTATATCTATAGTTAAAAAAAAAATCAACATGAAAATGATAAAGGAGTCAGTTTTTAATGTAATAAAATTCTTTTTGGGATCCATAAATTTCATCATTGGATAGAGAAATTTGGATTTTTAATGGTTTAACATTTGAATTAGAACAACATCTCGTTCTTCTTATATATGTGGATAACAACAGCTGTGCAATTTGTAAGTTTGAATGTAAAAATATGAACTAAAAAGTTTTTCAGAAAGAAAAGAATAGTGTAAAGCTAATAATAACAAGAATATAAAATAAACAGAACGAAAATGGCACACTTATAAACTGGAACTGTATGATTAAATAACTAACTTAAATGCATTTTCCAGCAAACAATAAAGAAAAAATTTACTGCTTAAACGTTTTTGGCCATTGTTTAGAGGCCGTCATTACGAATGATTTCTGATAAGGACCTCAATGTAGATGTATAAGTGGAATTTTTTTGTCTTTTGCAAAAAAGTTTTGTATATACCTGAAGAGGGGTGTTAAAAAAGAAATTGCACTCAAAATGCATAGTAAAAATAAATATTAACATTTGAAAATCTTAGTATTATTTTTGTCTCTGATCAAATGCGGATACACATTGATAAAGCAATGGTTATCTATTTAGTTTTTAATCTTTAATGTTTTAATAATTTTTAAAAGTTAAAAAATTTTTTTTTTTTTAAGTATATTGTACAAGGTTAACTTATACTTTTGTATATAAGAAAAAGTGAATTATAATATATTATTTAAGACATGTAATTTTGTTAAAATCTATGCAAAAGTTCTGCTTGGTAATATAAGCAGACTGACTCTCAGACATCTAACTCTTTCATACCTTTTAGTATATAAAGAGCAATTTAATTTACACTTCTGGACATTTTTGGCCAACAAAGATTTCATGATACTGCACAATGGCTTTTCTGCCAGTTTTGGTTTGGGTAATGGCAAAATCATTTGTGAAAATCTATTTTTAGTTTTGTTTAATTTATGGTTTAAATAATGTTTTGTGCATTGTAACAACATTCACTGTAAAAAGTAAAACTTTACTATCTTAAGAGATTTTATAAATTTTTTTTTACCTTATTGTGAATGGAACTTCTTTTATAGCATGTGACTTTATTGTATGACTTTTGGACATTTGACTTACATATTTAGTTTTAGCAATATATTACATCCAAAATTTTGGGACTATTTAATGAGTTAATCAATAAATATCAGTGAATATATAAATTTTTTAATAAATAGATGAATGAAATAAAAAAATTTTGTGTTTTGATGAATATAATTAATTTTAAACTTGGCTACAAAGATTGAATTTGATTTAATTTTTTATTTTATTTTACAGATCATTTGAAAGACATTTTGGAATTTGATAAAAACACAATTCATCAGATTCAACTCTCTCTCTATCTGTTTAATGAAGCAGTGAGTATTTGGTAACATTTTAAAATTTTGTTGATTTGTAACAAACTTCACGTTTGGCCATTTTATCTTTCAGGTCAATAATGTACTCAGAGATCAAAGCATAAAACCTCATTGGATATTTGCTTTAGATAGTTTAATAAGGACGGCAGTTAAGACGGCGATTATTGTTCTCTCACCTGGTGAGTTTTTGTTTTTGCAGCTGTAGTTTTTGTCTGTTTTCATTCCATTTCTCTGAGAGGCTCTGAGAGGCTCTGCATTTCTCTATTACTTAAGTTTACATAGTGCTGCAAAAGTTTTATTGATATTCTCATTTGACATAATCCAGAAATGAAAAATGCTATGCATAGCCAGTTTTAAATGAAATTTTTTTATCAGGAAAAAATTATAAAACTAATATCTAGATAAGGATAAATAAATTAATCAATAAATTGGAATAATGTTTCGAAATGTTTCTAACTTTTGGTTGAATTTTTACACTGGAAAGAAGGCTTTTGCATTGTCTATTGCTTTATACTTTGTTAGACATTTTTGCAAAAGAACAAAAAATATTAAATTATGATTCTTAATTCTTACCATATTTCCATACATACAAGAGCATGCTCTTATAAATGGAGAAAAATACCTAAAAAAAACTGTTTTTAAAAGAAGCTCTATATTTTGGCTTTTTATTTTTTATAATTATTACCACAGAGATGTCACAGAATAGTTACTATATCAGTACATTTATGTTGACACAGCAGTACCGCAATCATAAAGCCAAAACAATCTAGATACACAAACGTGGTCTTTTATGCGAGTTATGCTCTTACAAGTGAAGCAGGACACATTTCAAAAAATGTGAAAACAAATGATTTTCACACAAGAGTATGCTCTTATTTGCATGGAAATATAATAAAAATTCATTTTATTGCAACATATTATCAATAGATGGATTTTTTTTCTATAGAATTAGGTCAGGATTTTGATGATCATGAACATGATGATCCAGAACACGAGGAAGGTTCTACTTCAGGAGTTTCCTCTACTATTAATTCTGTAAGATCTCAGCATGGAGCTCAAGCATTTAACTGTTCCAGATATATACAACTGCAACAACAATTAAGCATTCTTGAAGAAGAAAATATGAAGTATGTATATAAGTTTACGTGAAAATAAATTTTTAAGCTTGTGAGTTTGTATGTGCTCACATGTACTCATTCTTACAGTTGAACTTTGATATAGTAAACTCCTAAATGAATCTCCTCATAAATATTAAATAGGGAACATTTGGGATAAATCTTCTCACCAAACTGTTACCTTGTGACTTTCAAACTGTCAAGCACAGACTTGTATATAGACCATCTTATTACATATAATTTTTTCAGTTTAATCTCATACTGAATGATGTGTCAGTTTTACAGGCAAACAAATGATGGCACTAAATTAAAGCTTGACAGTGTTGTGTATGCATGTATTTATAAATATATATAAACGCATAGAAAATATAGCTAAAATTGTATTTAAGTAAGATATTTTGATTCAAAAATTTAATGATCAAAATTCGTTAGAAATAATAATTCTCTGTCAACAATAAAAATGAATATGATAGCCAAGGACTTAGTAATTTAAGTATTAAATTAGCTATACTAAAAAAAGTCTACTTAAAATTTTGTTTCATGCAAATGGAATGATATAATCAATTATCCAGTGACATTTTCGATTGTATTTGTAAAATAAATAAATATTTAAATTGATAGATTATGGATTAAAATGGACTGATACTAATACACAAAAATAAATTTATCTATCTATCTACAATAATAATATTATTATTATCATATTAACATATATACACAGATTATAAGAATTTATACTCTATTGTATAAGATGACAATGGATAAAAATATGTGATACTATTCCCTAGCTTAGTTTGAAAAATACTGACATAAACAATATTTATATGTGTGATTACTAACAAAAGCATTTGATTATATATTTCATCAAAAGTAAGACTATGGCTTTATTCTTTTATACTAGGCTTATGTTTAGTGTCATAATTTTCATAAATTCCCCTGAAGTGACGATCAGAATGTGGGCATTCCTTTACAGATAACAATGTGTAGTTTATTCCATTCTGGAAACTACATTGCCTAAGACACACAGTTCTATAGGAGGGAGCAGTCTTATAATTATGATAATTATGTAAATATCTGCCCCCTTTATTGTCAGTATTTGGCACTGATGTTGCTTAAATATAGAAATTAAGTTCAAACTCTACAGAAATACAGTATCTAGTAGCAGTATTATTTTTATCTGTATTTAAAAGATATACTTTATTTTAAAATGCTTAAATATATAATTAAATATATAAATATTGAATATATTTATATATTTAATTATATATTTAAGCATTTTAAAATTATTATTAATTCATTATTTCATTATTAAATAGTTTGTAATAAGTTTGCAAACATTTTGATGATATATTATTATATAAATTTCAATTCATTTCGTTTTTATTTTTTGACAGATTGATGCAAGAATTAGTTGAGAGTCAAGTAGCTTATCAAGATTTGTTAAAACATACTTTAAATGACAAAAAAAATCAAATGATGTTATTACAGAAGAGGTATGTATTCTATATTATTTCTTCACTAATTAACGTGCAAAGAACTTTAATTGTTTTCATCTTTATAGGATATATCCTAACGAAGTGGATACGGCAGCTTGTCTCACCGATAGGCAATTAATACCTTCAGGTAAGAATTTTTTTTCTCTTCTATGTAAATACCAAGTTGAATTTTCATTATTGTATAAAAACTAGTAAAGAAAACATTGTATAAATTATTAAATTCATTGTATTAACATTATGATCTTCCTTAATACATTCAGATATGTAAAGGTTAAAGAAAAACGAAGCATTTTAATTTCTGTTAAGCCTGATTAACTGAATAATTTTGAGAATTCATTACAATAAATTGTACAATGTATAAATGTATAACAATAAATTGTACAAACAATGTATAACAATAAATTGATAAATTTATTGTTATAATTTTTAAATTTAGTCTTAAAAATAAACAGTTAGATCACCATCTTAAGTAAATAATGCAAAAAATTCTGAATTGTTTCAATAACATCTCAATCTATCAGTTATAACAGTGATAAAGTATTAGTGGGTAAAAACATGATACAAATATTCCTGTCAGAAGTTTGAGGGAATTCTAAAGAATGTGTGGGTTCATTATCCAGCAATAGCATAGCCTTTCTGGAAAACAGTTTTATTTTTATCTTAAAATCATCATTATTCCAGTCTTACAATATATCTGCTCATCCAAGCATTTTTCTGAGCATAGTAGTGCACCGATAACAGATTTTTATTAATATTCTTGAGTTACCAATAACAAATAGAGGTAAGTGATGCTGACCATTTTTATTGGCACGAAGTGTAATAGTGATCCATTGTTTTTAAATCTTGGCACTGAAAAATCAAATGATGATAGTGTTTTATGAAGAAGAGCTTTCCAGTTGAGGACTGATTTGTCACAATTATAAATCTGATTTTGCATAAGGCCACAGTTTTTATTTTTATTTACATTTTACACTTCATGAATTATAGGCACCAAATTTCTTCCTTTTATTCAAAGTTGCCAAATGCTGTGCTGCAATTTAAATTTATTGACCATCTCTCATTTGTCTCAAATGCAGAATTACCTTCTAAAATTTATTAAACTAGAACTTTATTCTTTGATTAATGGTCTTGGTGGAAATCCTTGCTTTTGTTATTGAATAAACCATCAAAACAAGGCTTTGTCCAATTTGTTGAATGTGGATCAGCCTTCTTTCACGGTTTTCTTTGAAATTATATCTCCATTTTGATGAATGGAACAAAATAGATAATATTATGTATAATGTTTCAAATCATTAATGTTTATTTGGGGCAAACTATAAATTATTGCTAAACTAGATTCATTTTCACTAGTGGTTAAGAAAAGTTCCCTTTTTTTAATTGCTGCACAATTTCATATTTTGTTCAGAGTTCTGAAGTTTTTCTTTTATCTAACTTTATCAAAACAACAATATCTGCTATGAAAGATTTCAGAAATTATAACTAATACTTTGTTATCAATCATGACAGGAAATTGTAAAACAAACCATTTCTTTTGGCAATTTCTAAAACAAACAAACAGTGTCACCAGCCCAAAAGCAATTTAATTAGCAAAACTAGTAAATGCTTCCTATCTGAATGTACCCAAACAATTACAGTATGAATAAAGTTCAAAGAATTTTTGTTTTTGTTAAATTACATGACAGATAAGAGAGAATTTGCTGTAAGTTTGTTATACATACACAGATACGTTATAAATGTATAAATGAGTCTTCAAAATATCATATTAAAGTTTTAAGGATGATAGAATAGTTTATAGTATTGTATCTCCTAAATATAGTAAGTTTGGTGATGAAAATTCTGATGTAATGATTCATTTGAATTTGTCATCTGTGATAAATTTTTGAATGATGATTGCTTAATTAACACTGATCCATAAACTTATACCCAATATTCCCTAATCCATTTTTCCTTGTGTTAGAAAGGCTTAAAAATATTCTTAGAAAAACTTTTACATGAACTTCAAATTGTGTGTCCTTACTATACATTGTTCTCCACATCTGGAAATCATTAAATGTAATGCTTCATCATCTCTGTTTTTACAGAGGAAAGGAAAAGGTTGTTGATGACCCCAACCCTTGCCTATGGTGATGGTCCAGTATCCTGCCTATAGCACTCCCTGCTGACCAATTGCTTCATTTTATCCCCCTAGATTTACTCACCATCCATGGGGTAGTAGTTAGTACCCACTTTGGAGACCACTGCTATAAAGTTTGAAAACAGTTGATGGAGGAGTGGACAGTAAACAAATCCAATTTGTACCACAAATGATATTCCTCACAGAAACCAGATGGCATCTGCCTCCCAGATTAGATTTGGATTAAGTGGGTAGAGAATGAGACTCCTCGGTGGTGAAGCAGGCCGTACATGGTCTCACAAAATCCACCACACTGACAAAGCAGATACAAGAACTGGTTTGGAATTACAAATGAAGTAGTGGGAAATTCTCAGACTATAAGAATTGACTCATTAGGAATCTTCTCGAGAGGAACGAATGATGTTTTTACAGTAAAGTGTTCAGTCTCTCGCTTACTTTACAGATATTAGTGGAAAGTATCTTGCAAAAGGAAGTAGCATTAATTTTTAACTTATTATAGAAAAGTAACTCTGATATATGGAAGAGTTAAGCTAGTGTAAAGATAAGTGTGCTGATTAACTTCTTCCACTCAGTCAGTATAATATTATAATTTTATCTTCCATTAAAAGTTACATCTCGCAAATCAAATGTGAATTTACAAAAATAGGATTTGTGTCTAAAAACCAAGCATTACAGTATTTAGGTTTTATTTTTGAAATTACTATTCATTAACAATTATCTAGCACAGATTTTTGTAGGTTTAAATACTGACAAACTATTTATGAATACAAAATAAATATAATTGTTATTCAGTAGATGACTCCATCTAAGATTGATCTGTGATTCTCATAGACGTTTTACATACTGTACATAGGCATACTCTGAAGTTCATATTATTTCGATATCCTTGAACATAAATTATTCATATTGAATTAATTCAAATAAGTAACATTTAGCATAACTATGTATTTAAATACACGTTTTTCTAATTTTAGTCACCGTGAGTGGCGAAAATTCTGGAGACGAGGAACTGACAGACTGGTTACGCAGCTTATCTTTAGACGAAGACAGTATTATAAAGGTTAGTTTCTATTTAATTTAGAAACGAATAAATGACGACTCTGACCAATTACGTTCTCGGTTACAGTTCATAGAAGAAGATTACACAAAAGATGACGTTCTGAACTTAATGAGTAGAGAAGATTTAAGGAGATTGGGCTTGAAGTACGTATTTATTTTTAATTGTTTAGAATATTAAGTATTGTTTGGTTACTGAGAAGAACTTCTTTGGTTTCAGAGGTGGGATGGAACTGAGGGTGTGGAAAGCCATTTCTAATCATCGCGAAGGAAAGACCTAGCACGATGCTGCCTTTGTAATTTTGCCTTACTACTATCGCTAACGATAAAGAGTGACACAAATAGAAAAAATTAATTAACCCTTTTCCAAAAAAACATAAAAAAAAAAGGACGGCGAGGCAGCTCCACGTTCGTTTGCTCATTACATTTCTATGGGACAGACTATTTCCCACAGATAATCGGAAAGGAAGCATTATATATCCAAAGAGTGTGCGTTTTCCCGGATGTAAATTTTAAAAACAGATTCCGCACCACATTATAATACCATTTGTTTTAATAGAGTTTAATCGCTTGGCAAGATCTCCAGATCGAAATACCAAAGGAACTACTGCCAGAAAAGTTTGAAAATCCTTAACGATTAACACAATTTTTCCACACAAATTGGAATTTTGTAAGCTCAAATAATATATGCAAGCGATTAGTACAAAAAGTTCACGGTTTTTTTTTTCCTGCTAACTACTTTGCCGGATGCAAAACAACACCCGAATCATTGAAGTGGAGAGAAAACGAGGCAAATTTCCAGACGTAATCCATTTTTAACTTAAAAATTCAATTTAAGAACACACACAAGATCATTTTGTTTTAGATTTCTTAGAATAGTAGTATTAATTAAGAGGAAACGATCAGAACAAAACCTAATTTTTCGACATGCATCCTCTTTTATAACTTATAATTTTAGTAAATTTGTGCAAAGAAATAAAATTTGTCTCGTTTTCTTCTACAATTCGAGACAGATATTTAATGAATGCAATTTTTTTTGGCGAAGATGTCAAGAAATCATAAGTACAAATACAATCAATCGACTTAAAATTCATTAAAAAGTATTTCCATACTTTGCGTAAGTTTTCTGGAGAAAATTGGCGATTTGGACTCACCGTCTCGTGAAGGTACGACAGTCTTGAAAATTGGTCTTAAGAACGTAATGAAATTTTGTCGTTTGCGCCAAAAATCGGCTCACTCTCCTTCACAATATATACACGCACGTAGTCGAAATTTGGAGATTGTAGATAACGTGTCGGTCAGCCCAACGTTCTATGCAACAAACGATGCAATTGGCTTAAAAGTGTGCTACTTAACCGATTCCCATTTATATTTTCTACGAAGAAACGTTACCGGGACAATTATCGCGAATTATACTAATGCCTAGTGTACAGATAACGAATATCTCTTGTATTTTGAATCAAAATGATGCGCGTGTAAACCCGAAATAACAATAAACGGCTTTGTTTCTTTATTCTGCCTCATTTTTTTTTCAATAATAAACGGAGTTCGAATCGAACCGAATCGGGTCGTTTGACTCGCAACGTGCTTGTAGCCTCATTTGGGCTGTATTTTACCATAGCTCGATTTTCTATTGGGATTTTAAACCCTACACTGAACACTAGAATAAAAATGCCATTGGAAATAACTGGGCTAATGTCATCCCAAAGTTACGTTACGAGTGAAACCACTTCGAGTTTTTGTATACTTGGGAAAGGCGCTTCAAATAGATATCAATATTGCGCAAGGTGACCCACGGGATAACGTCGTAGTTCTGATACTCTACTTGCTACATGCTCGATCTGTGGAACATCCCGCCGAATGTAACGGGAAATCTACACGCAGATGACATTAATAACGACAAACCCCCATCAACAGATGGCAGCAACCAGAGTAGAAAAGGCCCTCGACTCTGGAACACCGGGCGTCAACGTGGAGCCTCCATTTTTTGGCACAAAAAAAAATCCCCAGTGTCACCGTCCTCTCCTTGTTTTGATTCTAAAAACAATTATAACATCCAATTATGGCCGAAACGCCTAGAAGAGAAATTTGCATAATTTCGAGATGGAGATCGATCAGTTGTTTACCCATAAATGACGCAATATTTAACTTGTTTAACAAATTGGTAGATTTCCTCCTCGTGGGACAAGCCCAACTTCCTAATTAAAAGAAGAATTTAAACGTGGTGTAAAAGACGAAGAATAAAATTCATAAACAGAATTCTCTTACTGATTCTTTTTCTTCCAAGCACTTTATCTAAAATTAAATTGAAAATACATTAAAAATCTGTTAAGTTTTTATATCCAGTTGATATTTTAGTAGAAAACGTGAAGAAAGCTACGACGACGTATTTAAAGCAGAACTTATTCCATGGTAGACTTGCTTCACGGAATTCTGACAAAGAAATTCAAGATGGCATCCGATTTACCATCGATTTTGAAGGCAAGATCCACGCGAGTGTAAATAATGTCGGCGGCCTGAAACAATACAAGTGTAAGAAAACATTCGCCATATTCCCCCGTCCTCTTCCCAAGCTTAAAAAAATGTAGGAAGGAGTTAAATGCAAAAATTTCGAGTAATTTCTGTATGTATGGATGTTAGTGTGTGGGGAGGGGTTTTTGTTCATCCTGTTTAAAACTTAATAACTCCCGTGTTTTTTGTCGAAAATTTCTGAACGTTTGCAGGGAGGTTTGTTTATAGGGGGATCGATGCTATTAAATTTTGGTGGTTAAATGTCAATGGGATGGGAAGATAGAGGGGCGGTGTGTTATATCTCCAGTAGGGTCGGACTTAGTGACGATTTACTCGTTATTAGCATTTACAATTTTTGACAAAAATCCATCCCCACTCTTAAAATTAAGCTTTTTGCCGTTTTATAATAGTAAAAAATATAAAAAGTTTTTTTTATATGATAACAGATGGCGCCACCAAAATTTAAAATGTTTCCGGAAAAGTTGAGCAACTCGTTGCTGGTTTATTTTGATAATTCATTATAAATAATCAATTTATGTTTTGTCTTCTTATGGAGTAATTCATTAAATTTTAAATAATTATTCAAGCCCCTATGTATAATAGTAATTTTTTTTATTACAATATATATCAAATAAAAATAAATAAATGATTTTGAGAGGAAAATAAATTTATTAATTATTAAATAAAAAAAAATTAGCAACGAATTGCGTAACTTTCCCCGCTTTTACAAGGTTTTATTTTGAAAATAACATTTGTATTATTAATCAAAATAAACAACTAAAGTTGTATGTGGCGCCATCTTTTAAGAGATTTTGTTATAAAAAGTTTATATATTTTTAATTATTATAAAATAACAAAAGACTTAATTTTGAGGGTAGAAATGAGTTTTATAAAACACTGTAATTGCTAACAACAAGTAAAATCTTTATCTTCCTGATTAAAAGATGACGACTCCTTGTGACAAAAGCACAAACTGGAACAAAAGCGGAAATTTCCACAAGAGAGAAAAAAATTATCAAGTTTCGTAACTTTCCCGGCTGTTAGGCAATTATATTTAAAACAATAACTTTAATATTATTAATTATTATAAATGGCACAAAGCTTAATTTGTAAAGATGAGTTTTATTTAAAATATATATATACAGTACGTAGTTTATATCGTAAATGTTAATAACGAGTAAAATCTTAATTAAACGCGATAAGAAAGGTAAGATGTGATACAAAAAGGTAGCCCTGGTGATTCCGTTAATGAATTTAAGTGTGCAGGCAATTTAATTCAATAGCTTTATTGAATTAGATCTGTAATCTCCACTTTACAAGAAGGTGGTTTCTTTGTAATCAAAAGTTCCATCAGCAACGACTATATGGCACTCAAAATCTGTAAAACAATACGGAATTATTATAAAAACCTAAAGGGAGTTATCTATTTACTATGATTCTTCCGATAAAATAGATTTGTAAACTATATCCGCAGTTATAAATAATGTTCTTATAAGTTTAATAAAGTCCAACAGAATATATTAAAACACGATGATTGTGTGTCAGAGCGCTTTAAGTGAAGAAACAAACTGTATGGAGTATAATATCTTCTGACGTAGGTAAGCAACTCTAATGTTATTAATAGTGATGTAACGAATATACTATTCGTTACATCACTGTATATTCGTTACATCACTAGTATATTCGGCCAGGAGCGTGACCGAATAGCCGAATATTCGGCCAAACTATTCGGCTCGATTAACGTACGTACGAAAATTGGCGCGCAAACCTCATTACGGCAAGGACTCTGCTCTCTATTGGCCCGCTGTCACTATGCTTCGCCAATCGCGTTAATTCTTGACAGTTGTAGCGGACAGACAAGAGCGTCATGGCAGTATGTGATAAATGATGATATCAAATGTGGATAACAATGAAATGACCGACACGAGTAAATAACGGAAAAAGAACAGAGGACCGCGAAGTGAAAATATGAAAATAAATATGAAATTGAGTTGATAACATATTCGAACAAGTCGAGGCAGCTTATTGGCACGAAATTCGCAGCCGTCAATGCCAAACAATTGTTGTCATAGACTTTGGAAAGCTAAATGCTTGTAATGTAAGTCACTTAGCGTGCACGGGCGAAAGCCTGGGGCCGTTCGGGCTATCAAGCTGTCTCGAACCTGTGATATTATAACTGTAACTTATACCAACGTCCTATTTGTCTCTTTTCTCCGTTATCACCAGGCTATGAATCACGTAATTGTAAAATGGAAAATCTACGATGGAAAAGTGACGAATCGAAAGTGTCGTGAGCGCGTATTATGATGTATGCATAGGAATACGTGGACTAGAGCTATAGAGGAAAGAGAAAGGAAAAAGCAAAGACGAGCGCATTAAAAAAAAGGATAGGCAGGGTCAGACCTTCAGATGTGCGACGATTCTCTAACGAATAGGTGTGTACGTGTGCTGATCTTTGTAATTATAAATTGTGAATACATGTGACTATTATTATTATTTTTTATTTTGTGGATGTTATAAGTTATAAATAAATATAAACAAACAACACTAACCCGATAACATTAAATCTAAATACCAAAATGATTAATTTACTGTGTTTTTGTTATTTCTTACTCCTGTTTTAGGTATTCGGTATTCGGCCGAATAGTGATTAAATATTCGGTATTCGGCCGAATAGCGAAAAATAGGCCGAATAGGCCGAATACCGAATAGTAACCGAATATTCGTTACATCACTAGTTATTAACCGAAAATTCGTTCAAGCGGGTCGTGATTGTTCGGTTTTACACCTCTGAACGACACGGCTATGACTTTATCACGGCCGTAAACAGTACCTACAGAAGTAAGAACCGTATTTCTACACTTGATCGTTTACCAGATGCGGCTTTAGCAAGTGTTTTACGTAGCATAAATAGTATGCATTTCTCGGCAAATAAGGTGTTGGTGAATTTGCAATTTTCGTGCCGAGGGTGATTTCCGATATAGATACGTAGTTTAACTACGACAGTTGGGAAATTTAACACATCACTGCTGATATTGTACACTTTGTTTAGAGCAGGGGTCGCCAAAGTGGTCGATATGGACCCCCAGGAGTCGATGCAGCATCATTGGGGGGTCGATGCGGCTAAGGTGCCACAACCTTTTTTTTTTTTTTTTTGTTTGGCCGGGGCCCCCACCCCCCACGTTTTTTTTTCGCTCATACATATACACTTGTAATAATACTTTACGGTGGGGGTCAATGTGAGGCTTTGGAAAGTGATTGGGGGTCGACGGTTAAAAAAGTTTGGCGATCCCTGGTTTAGAGGCTTATTTTAAAACTTTACTTCACATTTTGTTTGCGTAAATTCAAATCGTAGATAAAATGCGTATCGGCCATATTATGTATGCTTTTAAAGTTTTGTAAAGGATGTAACGGCGTACAAACAATAAGAAATATTCGTAGCGTGTGTGGGGAAGATTCTCTCGGACGTGTCGAATGTGGTTTTGAAAATTTTGAAATAAAGAATACGAAACGTACGGAGTGCCCCAAGGCAGTTGACGAAGAGAAATTTCGGGGAAAAATTGTTAAAAATAGGCAAATAACGACTCAATAAATCTTGTGTCACTGACAAGTGATTGTGTTTCGCGTGCATTAAGTTAAGAAAACAAATCGAATTGAGTATAGTTCTGTCTGACGAAGGTATTCGGCTTTAAAGATTAATTTTATTTTTAAATTAGTTGCTCGTTTATATCGCAGGAAACTTTTACAAATGACAAAATAAAAATATTTGTTATTAACCGAAACGTTTTTCTGTTGGGTGGCGATTGTTCGGTCGAAACCGAGGTACCACCGTATTTGATTAATGTTATTTTGATATATGTGGTAACGTCGAAGGATCGATTAATCGTGTAAATCGAGGGATATCTGTACCGGTACGCGGTAAAAGCTGACCTTTGCAGACGAAGGGTGGCATAATTGGTAACTTCTTTGAATTTTTTACAATCCTACAAACTCTCTTACTTC